ATACATAAAAATATCTTCATAGTTTATAAAACAAAAAACAATTGGCACTATCATTGACGCATTGAGACAAAATGGCATATCACATTAACAAATTAAAACACAAACTATCTTAAAACAATATGAGAATAGGGCATCACTATAAATAATGTTTTCCCAGTGTTTATTTAAATTCAACATCAAAAGCTGATACAACAAAGCTTAATATACCACACCTGTGAGAATAATAATTAAACAATTACAATCTGTATCATGATAATCAAACTCACAACCTTATTCTGCCCATAATCACTTTTAAGTAGAATTAGAAACCACCAATCAATTCTATGGGGAGTTAAAAGACTCATGAGGAGACTTTGAAAATAATTATTAATTTTATCTATAGCAGAATTATCGATTACTTTTAAGTATACGTAGATTATGAATTATTTTTCAATATACCCTCAACATTTTTAAGATCATTAATTACCTTTAATGAGAATCACGAACCAATAATTTGAAGGAGAATCACCTATCACCCATCTATAATAGAATAATGTGAGTATTTCTGATATAGCAGCTGCCATATTTTGTTCACCTTGCTCAAATACAGTAGAGTACTGTATGCACTAAAACTTGGAATTTGCAAACATTATCATCCAAACCTGGAATATTACTTCATTAAGCTTGCTATGGCTATGAGATTACATGATATTCAATGTTAGAAAACTTCTACAGTATTGCTAAACCATTTAATTTTTAGATGACATGAACCAAATCTAAGTTTGGTGGATTACTGTTGTCTGCTTAAAAAAAATATTTTAACAGTCACTTGTAGTAGTCATCCAACATTGAACAATTTGTATTACATCTAAGACTTTGATGAGTAAATAAGACATCCCTTATGCCATCTCCAATGATTTATAGGACACCAACCTTCAGGTGAAGAGAACCACTTTAGCCATACAGTATTGACATAGTTAGGATCATCTCAACACACACAACAGCAGAATTACACCTCATCAGCCAAGGGACCGAGCCTACACCTTCAATGGCTGGGAATCTAGAATGTTACCAACTGAATCATGAGTCACTGTGTGGTGTGGTACGGTATGTTGGCATCCAAAGCTACTATGACTAATTAATACAATATTGCCACTAAATACAACAAATTCTTGTAAATATAAAATTTACATCCAAAGAATAGATTCAAACAATGACAGGCTTATCTTACAAGAATACCTGTAGCTACTATAGTAACAGGGTTCCCAAACTGTAAGCTCTTTCAATTTCAAAATATTTTCCAGGTGTTTTCAAAGTGAATGAACATTTTTCATGGTCTTCAAACAAGTTATAAATTTCAATTTTTTTCTGGATCAGACATAAAAAACTGAAATTCCTATTTTTTCCAGTTCTTCCAGTAGTAAGGGAACCCTAAAGTAATTAATATTTTACTAAATTACGTAACCAGCAGAAGCAAGCTTTTATCTTCCCTAGTACAATACAGCACAAGCAATATGGATATGTAAAAAGTGAGGCTAAAGTTAAAACGGCACATTTCAATATTCCATTTACAGTAAAGCCTCGATTAACCACCCACATATGGGGGGAAGGGGCCGACGGATAATCCAAAAGGTAGGTTAACAGCAAATAAAGTCTACGGAAATAAAACACACATTTTCAAAGTACCTTTCCCAAACCTACCTCATTTAAGTCCCTCTATTCATTTTTGTTCATTTGCCATTCATATTTCAATAGAATTTGCTTTAAAACATTAACCACTTTAGTAAATAAATATGAACCAGCACACAAACCGTGAATAAAAAAGAACATATGGCATCACGAAAATTGTGACCAAGTCCCAGGTTGCTGATCTGACTCTCTGCCTCATTTACACACAATTGCAGGGTCTCAATTATTTCTCTTACTATTGACAACACAACATACATACAGGTATATTATTTCTCACTCTTGATTTTTTTTCATTTTTGCATTTCTTTATGGTTCTTTATTATTATTATTATTATCATTATTATTACATTATCGCCCCCAGGCCCCGGTGTGGGTCAGTGACCTGTGCCTGGGTGGGTTAATCCCCGTATTTTTTTTTTTTTTAGGGGTCCAGGATCGGCGGTTAATCAGAAAGTCGGTTAATCGAGGTTTTACTGTAGTTTCCTAAAACTTCTACTCCATTACTGGATCATTTGGTAATACGATGAACATCCAAACCTTCAAAGATAATGACACATCAAGACACTTTTATGAATGATAAAAGCAATCTTGAAACTAGATATTTACTTGAGAGCTGTGATGAAGATAACTTATGATATGTTACTGTGGGGAGTATTTCTATTACCTGAACAGTGTCACAATGACCAATGTCAGAGAAGTACCAAAAACATGACTGCTAAACCATTTACCTTTTTTGTTTGTTTTTTTAAGCAGCTGACTTGCACCTAACCTAATCTACCACAACAGCCCGAGGGAAGTTTTTGGGTGTGTTAAGTCTGGTTGGTTTCATCTGAAAATAGATGGTTTAACAGTCTGGTTCTGAGTAATTCTTTCACACTAACTACTTTGTATGGCAGACAGGGGAATACTGACTCAATTATATCCATAATTAAAGTTATTAAGAACAAGTGAAATACTAGCAAACACGAGTCATCAATAATGCATCTGCTTAAACCCCTGTGACACATATAGTATTAGGTGTTCCAGTGCCAGTCTGCTGTTGCATGGATAACACAATAAGTTGGCTGGCTTAAGGTACAATAGCACTTGTAGCCATCTGGTTGACGCCGCAAGTACCATCTCCACGATACACACGGTAGTAGCCCTGAAATATAACACTGTTTTAGTCAACTTGCAGAGCTGCTTTACTTTTCTTTCAAACAATTTCCCACTACAATAAGAGGCTGGCCTGAATAAAGAATGACACAACCTTTTTCACGTTTGCTGTCACTCATTCTTCCTAGCTACATTACCACCAAATGAGGAAGATATCTCGAGAAATTTGGTAATTACTTCTGGTCTATACCATTTATTTAAAAAAATACATGCACATCTACAACAACCTTTAACAGAGTATTCTTTATTGTTAAGAGATCTTCAACTAACAATGTGTAGTCTGAGTTTTTCTCGTTGAATAATGAAGTGAAACAAGCAGTAAAATTAAGTCCCATGTAACTGGCCAAATGGGCCCAGGTCCCAATAGGCCCTTAACTCCTGTCCTGATGGGCTGAAGTCCAAATGAACCCCAACCTTAATGAGTTGCAATCCTAATAATTAGGATACATTACATAAAGGTCTATTAGGTCCATTTAATTTGTAAGTCTGTTCTTTTTTTTTTCTATTTTAATCTACTAATTGAAAAAACATGGATATGTGGGGTTGGGATCTATAATGGTGGCACGTGTGCTGATGTATTTGGGTTTGCAAAGACTCACTGTTACTCACTACCATAAGAGTGATAATGCTCATCATGTAATAAATCTGAGGTGCAATACAATCCCAACAGTTAAACCTATCTAGCCACGGTATGATATTTTAATGCTCCAAAGTAAAAACAAAATATAGGCGACATTTAGTGGACTACTTAAAACTCAACCCAATAAAACCAGCGCCATTAATGGGATGCCAGATATGTTGATCTCCTAACCATGACCAAAACCTAAACATGAAACTTAACTGAAATGCCTTTGAAAGAACTTTAGTTATTACACAAAATCAAGAGAGTATGCAGAAAGACAACAAATATTCCCTGTGCCTTTTTGATCAGTAGGGAAACAAAGTTAATCAACCTTAATTTGTACATTAATTCTAAAACTGATGAGTGAACATGCAAAATTGTGCATCTCTAACATCTACCATCATAAATGCAAGATAAAAAAAGCCACCAAAATGTACACACTTAACAGACAATATATGATCAATGTCTTCACTGTGAGTAAGATGGATGACACAGATATGAACCATTATACTGTATCTGTCAGAGATTGATTAGGAAAACTCATTGAAATGTATGTTAAAAGAATTAGTTATCCCCTCCTTACTGTGAACCAGCCAGGTGACAACAACGGTACAGCATGCATCACAAAAGGGGTTAACTCAGGGTCTGGAAAGTTGTAGCAGGTTGATGTGGGGTCGAGTTACAGTAGTGTAGTGCAATGAAGGAGAATCAAGAGGACATCCATCATCATCCCCCACCAATCCACCATGGATTTAACAGTGAAACTATAGGACCTGTACTGTACCCATTTTAGCAAAAGGCAATTCTTTGTTACTGGGACAATAATAAAGAATTACTGTAATACAAACAGAAATGTTGCAAATGAAGGCTCAATACAGAAAGATGGTGGGGTATGAACATCTAGTAAATTAAATCAATTATATATATATATATATATATATATATATATATATATATATATATATATATATATATATATATATATATATATATATATATATATATATATATATATATATATATATATGGATGAATAGGAATAGACTAGCAGGAGCAGTGAAGACAGAGAACATGAAAAGAAGTTGAAGTGGTGAGAGAAGTTATGTTACTGTAATGCAAAACAGATAGACTTTGTTATACTATGCCACACTACTTCAGGTTAAATTAAGTTAGCCTGAAATGTTTAGTGAACAGTGGAAAATATACACTAGCATCCCAATGTATAAATCATTTGGACCACATGTATCAGATTCAGGGTTCCCACACTTTGGGTAATTTTATATATTAAGGTTTTTCAGACACTGGGGCATACTTCAAGATATCTACATTACAGCTACCAAACAGTTTTCACCAAATTTAAATATAAAAGGCCTAACTTTACAATCCTCCTCAAGCTGATGTTAGTAAACTTCTAATAATCTCAGTGTCATCTATAATTTCTTCAATTCTTACACATTTCTGGAACAATTCCCAATCAGAAACAGCAAGTCAAACCTCCCGGGTGTTTCCGATTTTCCTGGTAGTGTGGGAACCCATTAAACTAAGTCTAAGCCACTAAACTAAAACTATGAGGCTAAACCACACATCACAACACACAATAACATATAACACAAATAATGGCAGCCAACACTGAATACAGAATACCAGCTATCAAGATCTGTTACCTATTAACAAAAATATTTTATTTTCATTTTAACGTTTGACCTTGCAGAACAAGTGGATATTTCTCAATTAAATTTTGTTATACTGTACAATCTACTGTATTGTATACCTAATATGTACAATTACATCTCATTAAAGTTTGTTCATTGAGATACAATAGTACTATACGTGGGTCCCAAAGATTTTCATAATATTTTCATATCAGTGAGTATCCCCTTTCTGGGTTCAAACTCCAGTCAGCTGATTATTTGGAGATTAATTAAAATGCAGTAAGTTACTAATCTATCAGTCAGCCATAACACATCACATGTAAGGCAGTATCACAGTAGACCATTAAAAAATGAACATGAGAATTGAATCCAAATCTGGACATCCTTTGCAGATAATCTAATGCATAACTGGCTCTTTGTACAGTAATTATTTCAACACAATTGTAAAACAGTGAAAAGTGCATATAAATGTGTCATTAATATTTACAGTCAATAAACAATAACATCCAGGTCCCCCGGGAGATGGAAAAATTCATAGATAAAGTAAAATTACCGCAGTAATTCTCTTAAATAAAGACAAAATATGATTATTAAATTTGTCTGACAGGCCCACATGAGGTAGCACTGGACAACAGATAAGCATCTTTATCTATACTGTATTTGTTTCGGAGATACAGGATCACCTTCATAACTCATACATTATTTCCAGGTTTCATTTTGCTCTGCAGTGAAAAGTGAGAGTAGGTTACATATGATTGAAACCTGTTAGGGGCAGTACAGTACACTACAACATATGCTGAGCCTCAGTACACAAATAGGCAGTGTGACCTGTACTGCACTCAACCACTCTGAAACCTGTTAGGGGCAGTACAGTACACTACAACATATGCTGAGCCTCAGTACACAAATAGGCAGTGTGACCTGTACTGCACTCAACCACTCTGACTTCTAAAAGTGTTATGTTTGGTATCCATTCACAGCTAGATGGACTAGGGGTTCTCTGGGTGTGTGTCAATAATCCGCAGGACAGAAGGTGAGAGCTGTGTACACTCGTATATCACTCCACATTGGGAACAAAATAAATCAACCTCTTCCTGGTTATTATGAGGACCAAACTGTCAATAAACTTGTTTTGATTTATGACAATATCACAATTTTGCTTTGCATAAGTTTTCATACCCATAAATGCTTATCTACCTATAAAAGCATTTTTTTTTATATACAGGTATACTCCTATCTAGGAAGTGACTACGTACATGTTTTTGATGTACCTCAACCTAACCCGCCATCTACCCTAAGAAATAACTTCTTTAATGCATGAATTTCACTCTTTTATCATCCTATTTCTTACTGAAGAGACCACTGTACTGAACAACGAGATTTTGTTCGTATATTAAACATTTTCCCAAACAATATTAATACCAGTCTGCACATCTATTGGCCAATGTAATACCACCTTCAATTAGATAATTTTTGGTTAAATGGGCCCACCTTAAAAGACTCTGACCTAATCTAACCATTAGGCTTAGGACCTTTTAAAACTGGAACCCATTAGACCGGTCACCATTAGTTCAACCGTTAAGAGCCTCCATTACTACTTGCCTGTTCACCCCAATCCTCTCCCCAAGAGTTCTTAACAATCCAGAATGGCAGAATCTTCTTGAACACAGGATAAGCTGCAAGGAAACCCATACAGTTAGCTAGCAACTACAACTATTAATCTGTCAGGATGAGATCCACCAACTGGAATTGGTATTCTGGGCACAAAATGTCCAAGATTCACAATTATTCATTTTCCTCTAACTGGGGATCAGAGAATGCATCTATCCTTGTAGCAAAGCTAATGTAAGCTGGTTAGATGCATTCCCACACAGTCAGTTTTAGAGGGAAAATAAAATATACAAATCTTTGAGATTCCACACTGTGGGTAAAATGTACAACAGTATTCTATATGAATGACCCTTGTACACAAGGTGTCATCAGAACACAAGAGTACAACGGTTGTAGATCAAAGGGTCCCAAGTCTTAACATGACCCACCTTGATCTGACCAACATGAAATGGGCCAACTGGGATTGGGGTCCATCAGCAATGGGCCTCAACCTTACAGTTAGGTTAGGATGGGACTTTTAAAACTGGGGCCTATTTCACTAGGTACATTTGTGCTGTAGAGGAATAATCCTTGTTCCTTATGAACATAACTCCAGAAGCAGACCTCGATCCTGTCCAGACAGGAAATATTATGGTACAGTACATACCTGTTCACCCCAGTCAGCCCCCCATGAGTTCTTGATGATCCAGTATGGCTGCTTTCTGTGTAGGTATTTGGTTGCTGAAGAAATAAAGTCACCATTATATACCTCCACCAAAGTCTGGAATCAAGACACTGAATTCTTTCTATTACCTTTACTCCTCTCCTACTTTCGTGCAATGTTGATCAAGAAATACAAAATCCTCAAGGAATTGGGGAATGGTGGGGGATAGTGGAGCTAAACAAACGAAAAAATTGAAAAGAAAAGGCTGAATCAAGAAGTAAAAATACTTCACACACACTTGCATATTTCCCCAACTTGCACAAACAGTACACAAATTGTCTCCTTAACTTTCAAACTGATTCAAAGCTTCATATCAATTCACTGTAACCATGCAAGATACAACCCCAATGAATACAATTCTTGATCACCATTCAAACTTTATCCACTGTGTCACCTCTAGACCTCATAAATTTACCAACATACAGTATATAGTCCATATATATCTTGCTCTTATTCCTTCACCATACTGTCAGAGGAATCTCTCACCTGCCATGTATCCCATATAACAATATCTTAGGGAGCTCTCATCCAGTCAACTCTCTCAACACTTTTCAGTCCCATATATTCTTACATCTCCAATTCTTCCCCTACAAAATCCTATAATATTTCTCAAAATTACCAGTCTCCACTGCTCTAAATTTATAACATCAATTATTCATAAAAATTTTGACTTTCACATCTCTATTAAGAATTGGAAGATGTAATTCTTCAAACAACCTCTCTTCTGTCAGACCGTTACTGATGAATGCTCTCCTGGTTCCATCCACTGGTTAACTGAAGAATCATATTTCACTTTAGGGCTTCAGTATCAGCATTCACGTTCACGTCCTATCTTCATTTAAAACCATTATTTTAACATAATAACCAAATAAATCATGAATGATGTTTATCTAGGGAGGGATAATATGTTGTGTCCTTAGATAGACTCTGATGTTTGCTTCTATAAAAATATAAATAATTCTAAGTGCTGCTAATATTTACTAAGCAATCATGTTTGCTCCTGTAAAAATCTTCAAAGTTAAAGAGAGAACTACCTATGGATAATAAAGTTGGAAAACACAGAGTAATGGCTTAAGTATATCTTCTCACATGGAGCCAGATGCTAAATTCCATAATGATCTGCAAAAAACATCTTAAATTATTAAAAGGAAATCTTATACTGACCAACAGGTTATCCTATACTTTTCTAATGTTCAATATTCAATGAAGAGGAATAAAAGTAGTGGTTATGTCTACCTTGACTTCAATAAACAGAAGCCCAAAGTGTATTCATAAAAGTAAAGTTGAACAACTTACTGTGTACACCAAAGCCAACAATAAGCATGCCATGGTCCAGGTCCTTTGGGTTGCACAGGAACTTCAGAGGATGAGACACTCCACCAATATAGAACTGCAAATGATGAATAAATGTTAGGTGTTTGTGCAGTGCTTTCTGTTGAATGCCTTCTCCCACTAATGTACAAATAGTTCAAGCTATTTTGCATGTAAAATTGCAAGTTCAAGATAAAGGGGAGACAAGCCAAAAAATTTTGTACAGTAATGACTGGAAACAAGTGCAGCTCAGTGAATGCAGCCAAAACACAATGTGGAGATGGTGTGTCAACCCTAACCTTAAATTTCATGTGTTTTCTTGGGACATCACCCCTCAACAATTTTCTGGCTAGCCCAAGAACTAATCCTGAAAAAGTTCCAAGTCTACTATAGATATTACTTATAATAATCCTGGGTATCAGGTAGAGTAAATGCACAGGCTTGAGTACAACTAAGACTATGACTAATCTAAGACTATGGGCAGTAAAACTAACCTGAAGGGGATTGGCATTAATACCAATGGAGATAGGTCCATTCTTGATTAGCCATTTGGCCAGAGCAACTTCATCCTGTGGCAGCTCCACCGATCCATTGACTGTTACCTTCACCTGCAATTAAACATTTCATCAAGCAATTAATGTTTTGAGGTTAGCATAAAGAGAAAAACAGATAGGTAGACAAACAGACAAGAGAGAAAGATATGAATGATTATGAGAAAGAAGTGTCCCTCTGAATAAAATAAAACAATTAATTAATCATTAAACGGAATTTAGTCTAGTGCAGATCGGAGGTCAGATTTTTTATATCTGTGGAAGTGAAAATTTGACATCTGCAAATGTAGATGTTGTGTCATGACATAATATATAATACATTGATACAATAAGAAAAAATTTGTTTTGTTTCAAATATTTTACTGTACAATATACACAGAGCAAAGATCCCAAGTACTGGACTAATTAAGCCGCAGCAATGTCGTTACTCAAATGGAATCCATTATTCGGATGTCCATGTCAGCAGGAAGGCACAGTTGTTAAAAAATAGCCAGGGAAGGTTCTAGATAGAAGCTCTCAGAGCCACAAAGACTTTTGAAGATTCTCCCGTCCCGACGTACTGGCACGTGTATATTTGGCGTGGATGGCCTTGTGCAGAGTGAGATGAAGTGAATGATGTGTATGTGTACAGTACAGTTCAAGTTTTCATGATCTAATTTTTATGCAAAAAGTAAAGGACAGAACGATATACTCATAGTATTTTTGAGGGGTTAAAATTCACGTGTCCGGTACTCGAGGTTTTTACCGTATACAGAGTTATGTATTACTGGGTATGATAAATGGTCCTCACCATAGTCTTATTGAAGTGACATTGTTCATCCTTAGCATCGTAAGGGTAGTCGCTCTCGGTCTCCAAGCCGCCCAAGTCTTTAATTGCTTCATAAGCATTCTCTGGCATTCCTCCGTTACAACCCTGATCTGTTTTATCACAGTCCACTAGTTCTGAAGTGAGATAAATTGACTATTATTATCACATGGTGTTGCAAGATGACTGGTTCATATCAATCACACTCTAACCATTACGATTGGGACCAGTCCAAATTAACTTAGTTTTAATGGGCTCAATCCAAAGGGTATGTCAGAATACAACCAATTTTGGCATGCAATGGCATCTCAACAAAATTATAAAAATATTAAAAATACTTCACAGAAATTATTTATAGAATGATTTTGAAAAATAAAGAAAAGATGAAATCTGTAATTGAGGAAGGAAACCTGACTCCTCGGCTCAAAAGAGCGACAAAGCTAACATCCTTTATACCATAATCCATGGGATAATTCCTCAAAAGCTCAGGACACTGACATAGCCAGCAACCACCTCAAGAGACACAAAAGCAAATTAATGCCTCCCCCCTTCAACTTTATCTGGCCAAAGGGTTAAAAATGTCTTGGACTGTTAGTTTAATGTAACCAACCAATACTATGAAGATCCTAAAGAGCAATGCATGAGTCATGTGTCTGTCTTACCTTGTTCTGACAGAGAGAACAGATGCTGGTGCTTAAGTGCCCATTGTCCCTCAACGTTGCCTGTGACGGAGAATGCCCAGCAAGAACCACACATTCCCTGATAGACAAAATATTTTACACTACAGGACAGTACATATAGGCAATAAAAGACTTATACGTAATAAAACTCTTCTTTCTATCAGAGAGAATGTTCTCGTATGTGTTGCAACTCGTGTCAGTTGGTGCCTTTTCCAAACTTGTGACAGCATCCAAAAATATTTCATCTTTAGGGCTCTTGGCATTAATAAATAAATTTTGCATGAAAACTGTTGCTATTACTATTTATGAGTTACACTATAAACATGCTTAACAAGGTACTTAGATACAGAAAACACTGTTCTATCAGCATGAATACCAAATACTGTACAGTACTTGTAACCTAATTCTCTAGAGACAAACATTTTTACTTAACATCTACTTATCAATCAATAATAAACTTGGTACAATTTATAAATTGTAGCATCAAGTACAAAATACGAGGTGTGACCAAAAAATTCAGTGAATGGTACCGTTACAAATGAATGTGTGAACATTAGTGAGGCCAGTGGGTGTGGTTTATGACATACCATATACTGCGGCCTATAAGTCGACTTCTAAAGCTCCAATTTTTTTTCTTCAAAACTATAGGTAGTCTTATATAACAGGTATAAAATATCAACCTCTAAGTATGCTCCACTACTAGCCTCAGATTTTTACTTTACCTTAATGGTAGCTCTCAGTCACTTAATTTCCAGCACTCACAAATAAGTTTTACCTAACCAGCATTTTTCCAGAAGGGTAACTGTTGCTGATCTTGGCCTCACGTTTACACTAGTCATACCGACACCTTTCAAAACTTAAAATATCTTTCGGTGTTAACTACTGTTTCTTACAAACAAAGTTCACTAGGGCAGTTACTTGTAATATTTGTTGTCAAATTGCTAAAAAATAAAGTTCCGGTATATTCGTGTAATGCACCTGGATTTTGTAAACGTTTACACGAATGTGGTTTAAAGCTGTAAACAATGCGGGAACAGCTGGCTGACCTGTGGCAGCTCAGCCAGTGTTGCCATCACCGCCAGTGATTCAGAGGCAAAGTCGGTAGACCCATAAGATGGATGATCTTTTGTTGTCTGATAATGATGAAACAGAATTTGAAGGATTTCCAAACTTGGATGGTTTATATTTGCATTAAATATTAACTTAACTTTAAAGAAACTTTTTTTTGTATTGTTCTATTTATAAATAAGATAATATTTTAATAATTTACCAGAACCTGAGACTGCAGACTTCGTTCACTTGTTGCCGCATACTACCAACACAGTGTACTATACTATACTACCGTTAATAATATTAAGTACTGATAATTGAATGCTTTATTTTGTAGTTTTAGGTGAAATAAGATAACCTTTTTTAATCATGTATCAAGAGTCAGTGTGCCTGTTGCTGTATACCGCTAGTACAGTGATATCTCTGTTAGCCGGAACAATTGGTGCAGTTTACGAGGTCAACTTAACTACCAGGTATAGGCCTAAATCAACAATTTCAGTTGAAATAATTAAGGTCGTCTTATAGGCCGTAATATATGGTAATCCCTCCCAGTTGCTAGTAGCCACCAGACACCATCACAGGGGGCACCAGTGCACTCTAGCATTACCTTGTGTAAGGACGTGTCTGTAGCATCTGGCGCCTTTATAGAAATGTCACAGCCTGAACAACGTGCAAACATGAAATTTTGCTTTAAACTTGGCAAGACGGCGACAGAAACACACGAAATGCTTGTAATGGTTTATGAAGATGTGTAATGTTCAGTAAAATGATATTATTCTAATGTTCACCAAACACTCTAATCACACCTCATATATGGCTGATTAAGGCACAATAATTTATTCAATTTACCTGATTTTTAACAGGTGAAACAACACCCTTGTCTCTCCAATCAAATGCAGTTGGTAATACAGTATCTTCAGGGACAACAGCTGGTCTCATTGATGACAGTTCAGGCTTCAGGTCAAGACGGAATCCCAGCATCTTGCGGAACTCTTGCTCTGTCAGAAGACACATTGATCACATGGTATGGTATACTTGAGCAAGAATTTTAAGACCTTTTATCTCATAAGGTAATTAATAGTAATAGTTGCGGGTCAAAGAGGCTCCAGATATAAAAGACCCCAACCTAACCATTAGGATTGCTGCCCACTAAGACAATACTTCTTTGTCAAAACTGACCAAATAACGAAAATAAATGACTATATGAAACTATTCCTTATAGTCAAATATAGAATTGGCTTTATTTACCTTCCACTCATATGTTAGGTGGCTCAAGGGGACTAGAAACTCTGCAGGACAGATGAAATAATTTGGAGAAAAGTAAAAGAAAACTGTGGAAAGTGACAGAATAGTATTAAGAAAACAAGAAGAAATACCCTCTACATAATACTTAAATCCCCAACTTTCATGTATAATACTAGTATAGTATATTGTGAATCCTTAACTTTCCCAGTAATTTATGCTTCATAATACACTCTGTCTTTATTAAGAGAACCGTTAGGTTCACTAAGTCAATACTGTATACTGTACTTATACAAATTCCCTTACCAGTAAGATCAGCAAATTTGGTGGGTCCATATTTTGCTGAGCCTCTTTCTTTCTCATTGAAGATGTAAACCTTCTTCATGTTCTGGCGGAAGATGTTAAACCTCTTCTTAAACTCTGCCTGGCTCTTGTATGACTTGTTGTATTGCTTCATGAAGTTCTTAAACACACCGATGTGAGTCAGGTCATGTATGCCTCCACCAAGTTTCTGTGAGAAATATCACAAATTCCTTTACAAAAAATCTCCCTCTCTCTCTCTCTCTATATATACAGTTGTACCCCACTTAACGCGGTCAATAGAACCCAGAGGGTCCCGTGTTAAGTGAAATCCGTGTTAAGTGAACAACAGAACATATGGGATTAATTCCAATAGAAACCAGCCCGACCCCCAAACTCCACTTTTTGACGACACATAACTATGTTGTAGTAAAAATTTTATCTTAACTTTATGATGGTATGAAAAAACAAGTAATATAGAAGAGGTTAGGTTAGGAAAAATAAAGGTTACGTTAGAGAAACTAAAAGTTAGGTGGAACACTTACGGTAGTAGAAGAGATGGGTCGGCATACGGGGATGGAGGCTGGTTCCGAGGCAGAGGGCAGATTACTGGCCCTCAGGTGAATCACCATTACTAGGTGAATCACCATCACTGTCACTTACAGTTGTCAGGGCTTCCCTGACAAATCCCTCAAAGTCAACTTCACTGTCACTATCACTGGCTTGGGCTGGCTGTGGTGGGTTGCGGGCGAAGAACTCGGTTATGCTTTTTTGACGGCTGGTGTTTATGTTGTCATGATACACCGTGATGTACGGCTCCATAGCCTGCACCAGCCGGGTATGGAAGACTTCATAGCGGTCATCGTCATTGTCGCGGGAAAGGACGGACTTCATTTTCTCTGCAAACTCTATGGCACACTTAATATCACTATGACTTAAACTAGGTTCTTCGGAGAATGACGCACCTTCTTCCTCCTCTTCACTGGCGTGTTCTTCCAACATCTCGTCGGCAGTCACTTCAGGATCTCTGATCACCTCCAGGATGTCTTCGTTGGTGGTCTCGGAGAAGCCTTCAGCTGTAATATTGAGCGCAGCTTCTCTGGCAAGGTCCACTGCTACTGCAACAGTCTGAACCTCACCAGTCACAGGTTCACTCCTCCTCTCACCTGGTATGCCATGCAACACATGTCTCCATGCGTGACGAATCGTAGCAATAGTCAGCAGATCCCATGCCTCCACCAAGAAGTCTACAGCTTGTTTAACGTTAAACTTCTTCCAAAATTGTTTGACGAGAAGTTCTTGAGTCACCACCTCTTGTTCCTTGTCCTCGTCGCTTTTGCTCTCGCTGTCGGTGTCACCCAGCTTACGCAACTCATCCTTGGTGTTGGTAGAGTCGTTCAGAAGCTTGAACTTCTTTGCAGAGTACGCAGCTTTCACATTGCAGATCAACTCCTGGTCCATGGGCTGGATTAATGACGTAGTGTTGGGAGGAAGGAAGACCACTTTTACGTTGGGGTGACGATCCATAAGTAGGGGCGAGTGTCCAGGTGCCTTGTCAAGGAGCAACAAAATATTGAATGAAACATTCTGTTGCTCGCAGAATTTCTTCACGTCGGGAACAAAACAGTTGTCAAACCAGAAGAGGGACAGAGAAGAGGACATCCACGCCTTACGTGCGGTTAGCCAGTGGACATTAAGCTTGTTCATGTCCATATTCTTGTAGGCGTGCGGCTTGCAGGCTGTGTGAATCACCGATAACTTCGGTTTACAGGTACCGGAGGCATTGGTGGTAAACAGGACAGTGATGCGTTCCTTCTGCAACTTCCGACCCCTTACCTTGCTGGCAGACTGGACAACGAAGGTCTTGGAAGGTAGCTTTTTCCAGAAAAGACCAGATTCGTCCATGTTAAACACCTGGTCGTCAGTGTACTGTCCTTCCTCCATAATCTCACGTAAGAACGGAGGAAAATCTCTAGCCGCCACACGGTCAGCACTCGTTTCCTCACCACCAATGTTGATGTTGGTGATCTTGTTCCTCTTCTTAAACCTATGCAGCCAACCAGAGGAAGCATTGAAGGGTTTGGGCTCTGCAATTCCCAGCTTACGTGACACTCCTGCGTATAGCTCACGTGCGTACTCCTGCACTGAGCGCGTGTCCACCGCCATGTTGCGTCGCGCCTGACGAATCAAATAACTCACCAGCAAATTTTCCACTTTTGCCAGCACCCTGTTCTGGCAATACCTGATAGATGAAGCACCTGCAGACTTTGTGATTTTCATGTGCTCTTTGATCTTGGCTGCATCCTTCTTGATCGTGCGAATCGTAGATTCGTTGACGCCATGCTGGCGCGTGAGATCAACTTGCTGTGTTCCTTTCTCCAAATCTTGAACAATATGGTACTTCACCTCGTAGCTTAAGGAACGTCGTGTCTTCTTTGGCTTAGTGCCGCTGGGTCCAGGTAAGGAAAGGTCTCTCTCTGGTGGCGGTGGTGGTCCGGCGGAAGCCATTTTACGGAACAATGGATGCGCGTTTACACGGTGTGGCCTTGAGGGATGAAACTGCCGCGGCTAGGTCAAGCATCGTCTTTCCTCCCTCCCTCCCCGGGGTGGTCACGTCATAATACTTTAAGCCAATTACAGCTAGCAGCAGAGAGGGGTAGGGATGCATGGCCAATCACAGTCCGATACATCTTATGACGTCAGTGATAACGCAACAAAGACACACACTGCGCAACCTTACCGCGCCGCTTGCCCAAGCGGAGGGAGGAGGAGGGAGAGGAGATGAGCGCAGACAGGCAGGCGGGCGGGTGGCGCAAATCTAAAAATAGCGTCTCGAGCCGGACACTCACCGCGTATATGATGAAAAAATCCGTGTTAAGTGAAAGTTCAGCTCTGGCAAGGCACTGCGTATACGGTAAAACGCGCTAAGTGAAACCGCGTTAGGCGGGGTAATACTGTACAGTGAGTTCTGCTATAACGCGTGTTTTGATAACGCGAATTTGCTCTAACGCGATTTGTGAATTAGGAACGGTATTTGTATAACGCGAACGCTTGTTTGCTATAACGCGATTTTTGCTTACTATTTCTCCAATTTTGTGGTACTGTATTAACTGTGAATAGAGTAAAGAAGAATATCAACAAGAAGCGTTCTGGTGATAGAATTCCCGGTGATGATCGTAAAAGAAAGGATATAACACTTGAAGAGAAGCTCGATTTTATCAACCTCAAAATCACCCTTCTCCCCCATCAAGTAAAGTGTTACATTTACTGTATGATTTCATTATTAGATATGAATGTAACTTTTATTTAGACTGTGTTAGGCTAACTACTAAATTTTTTCGATTTCGAGTAATCTGCACCTAACCCTATTTTCTCCATAAGCCCTGTTATTTCTATTACGCGATTTTCTATAACACGATATTTTACAAGAACACAATTATCGCGTTATAGCAGAACTACCTGTATATATATATATATATATATATATATACACAGTATTACCCCGCTTTACATGGTTTCACTTTCCGTGATTTCTCATTTACACGGTACCATGCCAGAACCAGAACCAGACTTTCACTTTCCGCGGTGCATCTACTCATATACGCGGTGAAGTATAATTTTTTTTTTATTTAGCTCATAAAATTCATACAAATTACCCTGCCAGAATATAATTTACATTGCTGGAATTCTTACAATATGATGATCATTTTGAATATAAACATCATGGATTTTACATTAGACATACAAATTTTAGATCTAATGTAATAATTTGGTTTACACAAAGCAAATATTTTATCTTTTGTGCAAAATATATGAAGTTTACATTCAAAATATTCCCTGACCTGCAAGGAATCCAAAAATGTCAATTATATTATCCTAACTTTAGTCTGAGGTATTATTTATCACTAAACGTTAAAATCTAGTGTTTCACCCAAACATTTCTCAGAGAGGTAGGAGCTAGTGAGCTGGGAAGAGGGGGGGGGGGGATTTGATTCCATTATTTGAATGGACATTAACCTGGCAACTGTATTTCTCTTAAATATTAATTGTGAGAGCATACCATCATAAAATTTAGATGTTATTTTTACTACAACATAGGTATTGTGTCGGAAAAAGTGGAGTTTGGGGGTCGAGCCAGTCTCTATTGGAATTAATCCCATATGTTCTGTTGTTCACTTTACGAGGTTTTCACTTTCTGCGGTACCCTGTGGGTTCAATTGACCTAATTGACCGCGTAAATCCGTAAATCATGTAAATCAGGGTACTACTGTGTGTGTGTGTATATATATATATATATATATATATATATATATATATATATATATATGCAAGTAAATCACTGTAGGTGCGTGTGATCTAGGTATATGCTGATAACCACAACCACACACACACACAAGAATAAATAACTAGCCCAAGACTAAAATAGAGAGATGCCTACCTTGCCGTGCTTCTTGTGGTCGTGGATTCCCTGGCCGAACGTACGCTGCAAAAGATATGAAGGAATACCTTTTTAGTTTTAATACACAATGCAATCTAACAAATCCAAATAAAAAATTAATTCAGAAAAACCGTACAAGTACAGCTTTTTCCACGGGATAGGAGTATAATAACAAGGAGTGTAAATGTGTCATCAACAACACAAACAACTGTTCATCAACATGTCCAGCGAGTTCCTGAGTTACAGTGTAAACAAAATGGTTCCTATAAACATTACTACTAAGCCTTCATTTCCCCAACCCGTAAAACTAGGAGCCCAAAGACCAAACAATAAATCTTTAACACAGGATGAAAGAGCTGTATCCACTCCCAGTTTAAATCTTTAGTTTTAGTACAGTATTTCTAGTTACTTCTATACATTGAAAAATAAAAATAAAAATCAATTCTTACCTTCTTGTGTACCTTCTTATCAGATGCCATTTCCTGAGGAGAGACCAGGAGCAAAGAAAATTCAAATTAATTGTGAAATCATAAATTAAATACAGTAGCGACTAACAAGAACCCAATTCCCTATAGTGATGGGACAACTCACACAGCATTTATCATTCTTGAAATACAACCTTACAAAATTGTGTAAAACGTCAAGTAAGAATCTCCATACCCTTGATCATTGCATGTATTATCAGTCAAGCAAAGTAAAAGGCCATTATTATTATTATTTAGCAAGTGAAGAACAATAATCCTCAAGTAATTACACTGTTTTATTACATCAATAATACTCCAATCAATCATGCAATAGACTTGGCCCTAAAAAATATCTTAAAGAATGTATTTATAAACATTTCCTTAAATAATCACTAAATGAAGGTTTAAAAATGTCATGACCAAGTGAGGAGCCTGACCCATATTACAAGTGCAATCTGAACCATATACAGTATTATACAGTAAACAATATTTAAAAAGCATTTCATAATTTTAGCCAATGTTTTATTTTACCACCAGTCGCAGTGCAAAAAAAATGGAATATTGGAAAAAAGTTACATTTAGTATCAGGGAATATTATTCAAGTACATTATGTTTTATCAAAGAAGAAACATGTTTAGACTAACTTGGGTGTAGGAGCTGCTGAGCTCCACATATGATTGTTAATGTGATAGTTTTACCACAAACATTTTGCCATAATGAAAGACTTGGAAACAATACAATGTAAAAAGTGTAAAATGGAAAGTGAAATCAGGAAATATCATTACTTGGAAAAATGACTGAAGATTTTACAAGTACAGTTGCCCACAGCTATTGTGTTCTTAGATTTTCTTTTGCTAAGATTTTGCATTTCAGTCAGCATCAGTAATAAGTTTAGGCAAGTATCAAGTATCCATCAGTACTGAAACCTCTAATAAAATTAACTAAGAAGCGACCAACCTTACCTACAGTAGATTAGTTTGTAAACAGAACTTCTGTCACTTCACAACGTCCTCAGGTTTTTGTTCAGTTGTAATAAAAATTTGAAAATGAATTACCATTACAGTGGGGTATGCTATAACGAACGTAATTGGTTCCAGAACCTCGTTCGTTATAGGATTAATCCGTTCCAGGCCCCCAAATACAACCGCTTAACACTGAAAAAATTCTGTGGAAAATGTAAAAAATACGGTACTTTATCTTACCTTAGTGTTATTCAGCATGCAGGTACCCCTAAACACTGGCACATCACTATCACTTCCACTGGGAGTCTTGGCTTTAAGGTCCTCAAACAATTGTTTAGCCTTCTCACAAATTATAGCTTCACTAATGTTACCACCTGCCATTTCTTTCTCCTTTATCCACACTAAGAGTAAATTTTCCATCTCTTCAATCACATTACACCTTGCTTTGCTAAGTCTAAAGATTCCCTTAGCCACTTGCACAGTTTTTAACTCCTCTTTATTCTTCAAAATCGTACATATAGTCGATTTAGCCATCCCATATTCATCACTAAGTTTCGCAATGCTTCTTCCATTCTCACGTTTCTTTATAATTTCTTTCTTAGTTTCAAGGGTTATTAGCTTTCTCACTCGCTTTGGACGACTCATTGTTACAATTGTATACTTGTATAACAAAATAGTTATACAAATAACGCGAATTTCCACATCAAAAGACGAAATTTCAACAATAACAGTGGTGCACTGGCTACACAATGAGACAAAGATGGCGCCTGACGCTCTTGTTGTGGGTCGCGGTACAACAATATTCATGCGCCAGGCGAAATAGTCCGGTATTCATCCGCGTTCGTTGTAGGAGTTGCGTTCGTTATAGCATTCTCAATTTTACAGGTAAAACCGTTCGTTATAGGAATATTCGTAGTAGGATCCGTTCGTTATAGCATACCCCACTGTATATATTCTGGGTTTTCAAGTCCATCAGTATTACCTACTATTACTTGCCTAAGCTTGTCACTGATACTGTATGAAGTGAAAGAACTTAGCCCTCAGACCCTGGTCCATTCCTGAGAACTACTGTACCTCCAGAATGATATCAATACCTTCTGGATATCATTAGAACAACTGAAAAACCAGTGAAAATGCAATATACAGTGTGGGAAAACATTTTCTTGTACAGTACGTACTTCAAACTACAGTACAGTACAATATTGTGAATTCTTACACTGTGACATGTTATTTAATTGTGTGATATAAAAAATTAAATGACCCTCAGCCAAGATGAATAAAGAAGCACTCGACAAAATTATATGAAGCATACGCGTATACCCAAAGAAACAATAACTAATAAGGCGTGGAGTTTGCACATTAAAACTTTGAAGATCATGCATGAGGAGAAACACACACCAAAAAAATTAAATACTGATTGAATACTTTCATTAAAACTCACCCTCTGTTCCCATTTGTCATAACCATCATCATCAAGCAGTCTCTAAATACATAAATAAATTCAGTGTAAATTCAAAACTAGGGGATGGTTTCATTATGTTACATACTGTAAGGTTAAATAAGGTAAGGTTTAAGTGTGTTAGGCTAGGTCAAGAGTCTCTAAATACATAGATACAATTATTGTTAGTTCATTACCAAAGAATGTTATCACTAATAATCAAATGAATCAAGACCTGACTTCTCAAAGATTATTACCCCCCCCTCCCCCCCCCAATGTTATTTCTCTTACCGGTACTGTACCTATAATATGGGTACTGTACAAGAGGACTCGAGGACTCATTTACATGTGGCATTCTCAGCAATTTTGTTGTACAGTAATTTTAATAATTAATTCACAATAAAGTGTACACTATGAGGTCTGTCCAAAAGGAAACCGAATTTTTAAAAAACAAATTTTTTGCTTTACTTACAACTTAATCAGACTTGTCTCCTTCAAAGTACTCCCCTCCACTGTTGATACACCGCTCCCAACGTTTTTTTCCAGTTCTGGAAAGCGTCCTGGAACGCGTTTTGAGGGCTGGTGCGCAGGTCTCGTAGCGAATTTTCAACTATCTCTTTATCGTTTGAAATTGGCAACCTTTCAGGGTGGATTTCAACTTTGGGAACAAAAACAAAGTCCGCAGAGGCCAAATCCGGAGAGTTGGTCGGCTGGGGGACGATAGTCGTTTCGTGTTTCGCCAAAAAGTCAAGGATAAGGAGCGACGCGTGAGCAGGTGCATTGTCATGGTGCAGCATCCAGGTATTGTTTGTCCACGACTCGGGCCTCTTACTTCGCACTGCCGCCCTCAAACGCTTCAGGACCTTCAAGTAAAACTCTATTTTGACTGTCTGACCACGAGGAACAAACTCATGATGAACGACGCCCTTCCAATCAAAGAAGACGATCAACATCACCTCCACATTTGAGCAGCTCTGACGTCCAGATTTGGGATCGTCTTCGGTGAATGTTCTTCCCCTTTTGAAACGCTGGTACCACACGTGACATTGCGTACGGCTCAAAGAATCCTCCCCATAAGCCTGTTGCAACATTTGAAAAGTCTCCTTAAAAGTTTTCCCAATTTGAAACAGAATTTCACGCAAACACGTTGCTCTTCAAGATCCTTCATTGTTCAACTTGCAACAAATCGCCAAGTGCACTAAACACACGTTCACTCTAGCACGTGTAGCTCGATGACTAATTGATGTGGCGTGATGCGGCTAGTGTTAGACTAAAGGTCAAGGTCACCGCTACACAGTGCTCCCGCCGCGAGTACTCTGCGCGCTATTTAAAAAGTTCGGTTTCTTTTTGGACAGACCTCGTATATAAGACAGATGGATACATTCTTACATCTCCAATTATGGTATGAATTTATCATAACAACTTTTGAGGGATTTAGGTCAATCAATTACCCTATATATTTCAAAATACATGATAAAATTGGATACAAGTACATACAAAAAGCTTTTTACTTAAAAATGGGACCATTTTTGAGGACTTCAATAAGTGGTATAGTATTACAAAACACACTAGTCAGAAGAATGAAAATTGACCACTACAGTACAATGCCAGCCTTCTCATTTTTAAGCTGCCAAAGGTTAAACTGATGTCATTCTTTAAAGCTGAGTTGTCTATTGTTTCACTCATCTAAAAATAAGGTGAATGGGTTTTATCATTTAAAAGTTTAAATAATTATCTAGAAAAAATGACAATTACCAACTAACAAAAATTCTATTACCTGCTACCCTTGTGCCCCCAACACCCCTTCCCCTGTCTTTTAATATTACTCTCTAGCTTCCTACTATAACAATAAATGAGAAGGCTGTTGGATAAAGGTATAAATGCAAGCAGTTAAATCACCAAATGACATACATTCTCCAGTAGTAACTACAAGAGTATGGCTACAAACAATAAATAGATCTAAACTGTCTAGTGACAGCTCTTACCACACATTACAAAACAATTTGATAATGGTACTCATAGCATGTGTACAAAAAAAATAGAAGAAAGCAAATTATTTACGCTTTTCGCTCAGTTTGTCATAATTTACAGTACAGCAAAAGTATTAGTCACAACAGAAATCTGATTGCACCATTGGAAACCTCGTAATTTTCCACATCTAGTGGTCTACAGCACACAGTTTTTGCCAGAGAAAACTTTTGATCTAGAAAGTGGGCAAAGACATTTTGGAATATATTTTTATTTTTTGATATATATATATATATATATATATATATATATATATATATATATATATATATATATATATATATATATATATATATATATATATATATATATATATATATATATATATATATATATAATTACTTTGTATGAAAGCCCAAGCTATTCTCAAGCTGAAAGTATCAAATAAAGTGGTTATGCAAAAATAAAAATTCCTTGGTCTAAATACCAGCACTTGAAAAATAAAAGCTTCTCCGTGCATGAAGGACACAACACAGTGAAATTAAAAACAAGATTTCCCTTACGTAAGATGGTAAAGTCAAGTCATTATTATTACTATTTTATTAAGACTGTACTGTACTATCATATTTGAGGAGGGGTTTAGTAGAGGGTTCGGTATATAGTAATTTCATTGGTATAGAGAAGCAATACTGGAATCTGAGGAGCACTCTACAGTATATAGAGGGAATACTGTATACACAAACACTAACATGATGCTTTAAATGAACAGTTTTACACTAACATGATGCTGTGATTGAACAGTTTTATACTAACATGATGCTGTGATTGAACATACCGTATATACACTAACACTCATCCTGTCACGATGCTGAGAATGAACACAGTACACATTACAGAACACTCACCCTATCATGAGGCTGATGGTCATGGTCATCACCACCAAGCACACGCTAGGGAGACACATGAGCAAAATTTTTACTTTTCTGTCTAACAAAAGTGTGGACAAAACATTTATATAATTCTCATTCATTATTCTTAACAAATAAGTAAAAATATATTACAAATAAAAAATTCAATTTGGTCATATCAACAGCTACATTACAGTTAATACATGGAAATTTTTTTACTAAATTATGTAATTGGTAAAGGATAGATGCTATAAAAGGTATCAGATAAATACCGCTATTTATCTTGCACATCAAGGCACTTTTGGCTGATTAGTACATAGGGGAAAGTTATATACTGTATCAGGGGTTTAAATTCAAGAGGTACCAGGAACAGGTACTTTTACCACCAAAACTATCCATTTATTCCAGTTTACAAGCAATATCTTAGTCCCCCTCCTGACCCCCAACATTTCTGGGAAGGGCATTCTGTTCACTATGAAATACTGTATTGTACCTTGTAAAGTAAAACACTCTGAATCTCTGACATATGAACACCATACACTTTGGCACTGAGTTACCATGAGGGTTATCTCTACTGTGGTCAATAAAACAGTAGTCGACTGTAATTCCCTAAAACCAAAAATTAATTTGACCTCATAACATAATATTATAAATGTTTTATTTTCTTGGAGATGAGTTAAAAGAGTACCTCCAGTAGAACAGATCATGTACAGTATAGTAATTTATGCTCACCCGATGTGACTGATGGTCGTGGTCATCACCTCCAAGCACAGGCTGGGGGTATATGCAATCATCATCAATAGAACATGATTAATGGAATATAACGTATCTGTTGTCATATTTGTCTTTTGACCTTCAGCTGTGGCTCTTCACCTTTAATACAGACTTCAATTTATGCTTGGAAATTTTCCATGTGATGAAGTTTCATAACAAATAATTATATCAATATGAGCTGCTCTCCAAACAAGAAAAAATGTCCACTAAGATGCAAAGCATGAGGCTATAATAGGCCTGATTTCAAGTGGCAAATAAACTAATTAAATCTGTTTAATTCTGATAAATGGGTAATTTTGATCCCTTCAAATATCCTATATTACAGTACAAATGTAACTTCCACTCTTGCTAATATCTACAGTACAGCACTGGCTTCAAAGAGTTTGCACATGAGGTCTGTCTCACTATGCACGGTATGTTACCAGTGTAATTTGAGAAAAGAACTACAATGATCATATTAACACATACACACTAACCACCATGGCAACATCCAAAAAATTTAACTTCGAATAGTTGAGAAAAATTTTCAAATAATTTACTGACAAAATTAATTGAATAAATAGGACACTTAAATGGGTAAAATTCTAGTTATATAATTTTCCTATAGGTAGAAAACACCATCAGGTTAAAAACAGCCTATAACATACAGCTTATGGTACTGAATTTATCATGTAACCAATCCTTGAACTAAACAGTCACACTCACTCACCCTGCCATGGGGTTGACGGTCATGGTCATCACCACCGAGCAAATGCTGTAGAGAAAAAACAATGCAGGTATTCTTTATGAAAATAATGTTATCAATAGTTAATATTCACATATACAGTACATACTGTACATATTAGTAATATTTAATCAGGGATTTCACAGTCAACTGGTAGAGTATTAAGCACTTAAGATTTGTCACTATTATAGTTCCAGATAAAATGCAATATCTTTACCCCTAACAACTCCAATCATTCTTGAAAAGGTATTTCACTGCAGTACTATTCAGGACCATAAATACAACAAAATATCTCCTGAGAAAAACACTTTGAAGGCCCTATGATACATGTGAACAATATACTGTATGGTACTTAATAAAAAATAGTATACAACTGTATACCTTCGCGTGTGGCCTTTTATCATGATCATCACCTCCAAGAACCTGGGGGAGGGAAAATACATCTATTACTTTTACTGGGAAGTACAGTGCACACTTATCCAAACTGGTGTTAAATATCAAGAATTAAAAGCTGTTTTTTAAGGACATTACAGTGGAATGCAGTTAAATTCCAGGCATTATCAGGCAATAGGCATAAACAATACTTAACATACCTTTCTTCCCTTGTGCTTGTTATGTTTGCCATGTTTCTGTAAACAAAGCAGCAAGGTTGAACGATGAGTTATAAAAATTAAATTAGCAGTACAGTACGCTCAAAAGTCCATCAATCAAGGTTTGTTGGACCTGGCTAGGGCTTGGTCAGGTTTAGCTAAGTTATGCATTATATCCTACAGAAAGAATGCTATTTCCAAAACAAGGCTCAAAATCTGATTGGTGGACTTTCACTCATATCTAGCTTAACAGAGTAAAACTTGGGTGCATTACAGGATTATACATAACAGGTGAATGTACATTACAAGGCAACTCTTAGGTTAATAACATGCAATTATAATCTGCAAAATATCAATATAGTACTGTACCATTCTTTTCTGCTGCATCTGATAAGTGTTTAAGTTATTTTGCTGACTAGTCAAATGGACCCCCCCAAACCTACTAGAGCTCAATCCTGATGGACCCGAACCTAACCTAACCCCTAAAAATTAGGATTAGACCCCAGTCCTAATGAACCTAATCCAAATAGGTTAGGTTGGGTCCCATTTGACCACTTTCCATTAATTTTGGCGGCATGAGCATGAATGTACAGTTATGGCCAAAATGTCTGGCATCTCCTTAAATATCATGTAGGTAAGTGAGATTGTGATTTAAATATTCAATTATATTTCTTTATATTCCAGTGGGTGTTTCCTCATGTTACTTTGGCAATACACAGTATATAATATATTGACCAAAAAAATAACTAGCTATAAATCACTCACAGACATCAACCACAAGTAACTGCCAGATGGTGCAAAAGTCAGGGGAATTTTAGCCACAATTGTACTTGTAAAAAATTATGAGAAAAAATAATAAATTCAATATCTTTCATTTGAAATGTATTTTTGATATATTTTGAAAACAGAAGCTAATATAATAACCACTCTGATTCCACATTGTCTCATGACACCCACAGCCAAATTCTAGCTCCACATTATCCAAAAGACATTCACAACATTCAGATTCAATGAGATCAATACATTCAGATTCAATGAGATCAATACATTCAGAACATCCAATCAATATGACACCCTGAACACACATTGTCCCATTCAATCTTACGGATATATTTAATTCATCATATCCATGTATCCCCAGTCTCTTTTCAACTGTCAGGCAGGTCTATGAATATAACTCATTATTAGCAGAATACAACATAGACCAACTTGCCTGGATCCATCTCATGACTAACTGACTATCAACTAAGATCTGCCCATTTTTAAATATGACTACAGTGGATTATTTCCAGAAAATTACCGGTTTATCCAAACTTAACACACACACTCATTCATTTTATAGCTGCCTTACCAATCTGGCTGCAGAACTTCCCCTCCACAACTAAGCCCTGATGTTGTACACAGTATCCTTCGGGTTTATCCCGGTCTCATTATACATCACCAGCATCACCAAATAACACACGGAAGGATACACCGAGTGAATCCTTCATATTAGCTTCCCGAGTAAAGGATAATACGGAGAGTTCAATGATCATTAACAAGCGCGTGATCTACTACTGTTTAGCTAAGATAAAGCTGGAGGTGCTCTCAAGCTTAAAGTATATCTAGGTGAAAACAACATAAAAAACACTGGAGGTGCACCAAGTGATCATTCATGAAAACAAGACTTAATGACGTCATGTTTCTTTACATCGGGGTTTATGCCATCGTCTGTGTTTACCTGGACGTTGAAATATGAGAGAATCTTAAAATGCACTAATAAAATCATAGAAAGATTACCATGGACTCTTAAAGCTACAGTATAGAGAGAAACCCTTAACATAATACTCCCCATGTGAATTATTTGCACCACTTTCTTCCTGTACAAACTCACACCCTTGACATCATCTGTGCGAGTACTATGAGAAAACCTACCATCTGCCTCAAAGTAAATCAACATGATATCATTAGGTCATAGGGTTAAGAAAATAAAGCACCTTGTGACCTGTACATGCAGTAGCCTAAACTCCTGTATTAGATAATGTATTAATTTCTTCTTGTGTCTACTGAGAGAGACATACCTTCTTGTGGTCCCTTTTATAATGGCTGTCACCTCCTAGGTTATCCTTTAAAGAATAAAAAGGCCTTATCAACTTACAGTATAATTCAACTAATTAAATTTATATATAGATTTTTTTTCACCCTTACAAGCATTTTCCCACTTTGGAATTATCAATTCATTAATTTAAATATTCCTGCTGCTATAACAGCTGTAGTCAAGATAAAAATTTATTGAATAATGAGGAAAAACACTGTAACAAACCAGCACCCAAGCTCCAAATAACTCTCCTAAATATCAAAACTGAACAATAATACAGAAACAAAATGCATTCAAAATTCAGTGGTTCACAAGAGTACACATGCAATGTTTAACTTCATAAGGCAGAGAAATAGATTCATTTACTGTAAGGAAATAAATAATGTGAAGATTGGTACTGTACTTGTCAATGACAGAACACAAGCATCATAAACTTTCAAATACTTTTTCAATTAATTGGAGAAACAAACAAATCAGCTACTCAGACAATTTAACTACTGGCCACTTAAACCCTAAGAGACAAAACCCAGGCAGCTTATATCTGGCATACTGTACATGTACGGAGACTTACCTGTGTTTTATGAATGTCAGGCAGTGGCTGTCCATGAGGTTGCAAGTCATGGTCATCTCCTCCAAGAAGTGGCTGTCCATGAGGTCGCAAGTCATGGTCATCTCCTCCAAGAAGTGGCTGTCCATGAGGTAGCAAGTCATGGTCATCTCCTCCAAGAAGTGGCTGTCCATGAGGTCGCAAGTCATGGTCATCTCCTCCAAGAAGTGGCTGTCCGTGAGGTAGCAAGTCATGGTCATCTCCTCCAAGAAGTGGCTGTCCGTGAGGTCGCAAGTCATGGTCATCTCCTCCGATACGTGGCTAAAACAGACAAACAAACAAAAATACTCTAAATGGAGAAAATTTTCAGATTAGCTAAAAAACAAAAAAAATCACCAAGGGTTAATAATTTTTTCCCTACTCTTTCAAGAGGAAGTCAAAACTATAAAAATACTGTACTGTAAAGTTATGAAGAGCATACAGTATATCAGTGTTCAGTGCTGTAGCTACTGTAGGGCGGGAGGGGCACAGGTCTTCTTCATGTCTCAACGTGTGAATTAAATTTTAGCAAGCTGCTTCTTGGATGATAATTTTCAATCTTATGATACAGTAGTTATATTTTTATGTTATGCCATTTTCAGATTACAAAATTTATTGGCTTAACCATTTTATCTGTGAATAGAACCAGACTTGCTAATGTTCACTGGCTCAGTGCCTTTTGAACATTGGTGTGTGAGGTTTGATTTTGACAGCTGTGGGCTGTGTAGCTTAATGCAGAACTTTTATGTTTTATACCATAAACTATTGCCAGTTGAATTATCAATATTCTTAAAACAATACATTTAATAAGAATAAAACACTTCTTAAATATGTCAGTTATCAGCCTAGGCTAGACATCACCATACAGTGCTTGTTTTGACAATTTGCATTTGAAAGTTTAACAGAAAGTGAACACAAAGAACATGGGTGTTTAAGTAAAATAAATTGTGTTTTTTATTCTTATCTTGTTAAAACTGGTCCAAATCAATAAGTTTTTTTTTAAGGTAAGACACTGAAAAATATTGAAATATGTTAGTCAGTGGTCATTATAAATGAGGCTATTAAACTAAGAGAAATGAAAGGGAGCACCATAGTGAAACTTGCCCAGAGTGCATAAATGCCTGGCCAAGACTCTCAATGTTGCTAGTACTGTACAGTAATATCTCTGTTAATCAGATTCCCTCTTAACAGGAACTTTCCAATAGCCGAAATTGAAATTTTCTCAGAAAATCGTTACCAAAGCCGTAATTTTCTAGAAAATTTTGGCTTTAGGAACGATTTTCCAAGGGGCACATTTTCTGGAAAATTCTGAGAAAATTTCCCCAGTACCCGGAAAATTCCGGGGATGGGGGATATTTTTCCGGCTTTGAGAGTCGTCTTGTTACTCGGAAATCTCTCATTCCCGGAAGTGCTCTGCACCAATTGTTCCAGCTAACGGAGATATTATTACACTGCTTAAGTAACACAGTATTATGAAGAGAAGGAATCGATTAAATTAAGGAATTACACTACAACAAAAACTGTGGGTAGATAAAATTAGACAAACAGTGATAATTTTTTACAAGCGTGATATCCATTATAGATTAAGGAAAATAAGAGAAAAGTGTTTAAACACCAGCAGGATAAAACTGGTGCTTACCTGTCCATGATGTTGTTGTAGTGATAAACCATCTTGGAAAATATCAGGGTTGGAGCTCATTTGACTAGTCACCAAAAAATTCAGTATCCCCATTGATAAAACATAGAGAAAATACCTATAACATAGGCAAGGGGCTCACCTGGCCATGCTGCTGCTGGTCATGTCCATCCTGGCCCAGGAGAGGCTGTGGATAGAAAATTCAGATTAATAATAAAAAGCTTTTACTATACTACACACAATGTTCAATATATCTATGGACTTTGAAGTAATTTACCCAAATTTGTCCAATATGACATACTTAACAAAACTAAATCTTGTAAAAATATATGATAGTGCAGGACACCTGAAGACATACTCTGTACACACTTTAATCTAAATTAATCCAGGTGGAAGAGATTTTTCCTTTGCCTACCAATCTGAATTATTCTCCCCCACTGTCTGCAAGTAGTGGATCATAGGAAACAGACACCACGGGACAGGGAGGAAATGGTTGGGGAATGAAGTGCAAGAAATTTACAGAAAGTGCTGAAGGAAAAATTAGGAGCATTCCATCCACACTTCCTAATATCCTCCATTTTAAAGTACTGTATCTGCACAAGCTAAAAAAAATCTAATTTTGAAAAATATCACAGTACCATACACGACAACCAAGAATTTGCATACTGACCAGAAGCAATTTGAATCACCTACATGTGAGAAGAAGAAGTCAGTTTGGTCAGCAGCTGGGCCTGGTTCATTAGGAAAACCACAAATAAATTCAGACATGATGAGTAGGAATAAAGACTAAATAATATGTTATGAATAAAGCTGCTCACCTGGCCATGGTGCTGCCGATCATGCCCATCTTGTCCTAGCTGAGGCTGCTGCAATGATAAAAAATAATATTACAGTAATAACACAAATTCTAGTTGTTTTTGTTACTGGCATCCTTTCTGTCTGTCACTTCTGGTACCTAGCCCAAGAATTATTGCAACTCCATTGTATTTATTAAAATAATTTTGTTCATGTCCATCAAGCAAAAATATGTCAGACACAAGGCTCCATAATAACAAGTCTGCCTATACACTACAGTAGTGTATTATTCAACAACTAAAACTGGACACTGTAGGTCTATTGTACAGTACTGTACTGTATTTGTATTTAAAGACACAAGTAATCCATGTGCTAAGGTCCTCCCACTTTTAGCATCTTTTACAAATATGATGATACACAACAGATTGACTGGCTGCATCAAATTTGGTTCATGTAATTCTCTTAAATATTGAGAAGAATTAATTTTAAAAGTCAATTGCTGTATTAAAGACAGACATACACCAACTGCTAGCATGGTAGATTAAAGGCTACAGTACACTAGTTAAAGCTTTACACTGTTAACTCATTACTCTACCTTTTCATAATGCTTTGTTTCAGGGTTGTACACTCCAAGATTCTGAAAAATAGGTTAAACCCTTATTTCCTGCAACGACTTTTATCATAACTGTAATAAGAAGAACAGAGCCTTCTGAAACACAGCACTTAAGTGATTATTGGAGGCAGGAGGTTTATGCTCATCCACCCTAAGGAGCATGAGCATGATGATTAAGGTTAATAAGAATATATATCTATTATTCTCTTACTATACTACAGAACATGGTAAGTAACTGTCATTGGAGAATTATGAATTTAACCCCCACCACAAGAGAGGGGGGGGGAGGGGGTCTTGGTTAGGGTATAGTTCCTGATTCCTGTGGCTAGGTTAGGTTTAGGTTAGGTTGGGTTGGGTTAGGTTTAGGTTAGGTTAGGTTAGGTTTAGGTTAGGTTGGGTTTGATATCTAAATACAAGGGGACGACTTAAACTAAAATTTTACCAATTTTTCACTGATAGGATAAAAACATGGTAAACCTTTACACACTACACTATTTCTATTACAGCAGATGAAGTTACAGCAAGAGAAGAGCTTATCTATATTATTAACCACAGTAGCAGGAGTTGCCAGTTACTCTTAATATTTGTTAAAAAGTAACAATTTGTACCAAGAAACTATTTTCATACGGAATTAGCAATATACACTCATCATAAATAGAATATGGTCCAACACTAACACTATTTAAAGATACAAGGCAAAAATAATACAGATAATAGTCAATTTGTCGAGGCATTTGACAGAAAATGGCCAGATGCCATAAAAAATCTGGAATACATCACACTGGAATTCCTTCTTCCAGGGTCTTCCAGCACCAATACAAACCCTTACCATTTTGTCTGCCCTCAGCAGTTGGGCGGACGTTATGCACCATAACGTGGCGCTAAATACCACAAGGATCTTCATCCTTTTTGTTGGGAAGGATATCCTCCTTCAAATAGTGATAAAATAACTTGCTTCAGATGGGAAGAATGTCCGCGCCCACCACAGTGATCTGGAGACGCCTCACTACCGCACCGCAGTGTAGATGATCAATGTTAAAACCACACCACGAACATCACCCAGTAATTCCCTCATAATATTATTTTCTCGGAACAAAGAGATATTACAGTTGTGAAATTTTACCTAACCAAATAATAAAAGAACCATAGTATGTTTTATGTCAATCAGATTATTTAAGATTCTTATCACCTGCTTTCAAAGTAGAACCAAAGAAATAATGGTAGCTAAATTATTTTGATCATATTTGCAGACAAAAAACACCAAACTAAAAAACCCAATCTATCCAAACCAATACAATTTGATATACAGTTTTGTTAGAATAGTCTGGGTCAGGATATTATTATCAATTGTCAACGTTACACAAAGACAAATATCTTCGTGGTATATTCTCAACACTATCTATTACCACTGCCGCAAGTCAGCTGATCATGACGTCATAATCTGTGATGATGTGACCTCAAAAATGTTTTCTTAGTATTCAAGCGAGAATATCAAATCGAATAATTAGTAACATAAATAATACTTTTTTGTGATGGTAGCCAAGCTGTAATGATAATATTATGTACAGAGGTGATGTTACTGTTCCCTCTCAGCAGTTAGCCAATCAACAAACACCTTGAGTTCACCCAATCACAAACCTTGTAACATAAGGCGTGGGTTACAACCAAAACAATAACACATTAAAAGTAAGATTGGCAGTGTTAATAAAGTACCACGAAATTAAGCACCAAATATTTTATTTATTCAGGTATTATTCCATCAAATAACCAAATATTTATGGTTTAAAATCATCATATTGATTTTAAAATGGTAATTTAGTTCTCATTTCTTCAGATAAATCTGCAATATTTGAGCAACTGTGTTCGTGGTAAATGTACAGCATCCGTCGCCTTGCTGCCTGACACCTGGGTACAGAATGTCTGGTGTATACATTACGCTAAAGCAGTTAGGATTACATTCTTACTCGTAGAAAACTTCACGTAAGAACGATGTGTATATATGAGTGATGAAAAAGTGGTAAATTTGCATTTTCAACCAATATAGCTCTCTAGTTGAGCAATGTGTTTTTCCTAATGGTTTAGACAATTTTAAGACTTTTCTTCAATGGTGTTCCCTTCACAAATAACGTAACCAAAGGCGTTTTCGGTGCATAAAATAGCTAACGTGTTAGCTATTCTGTATGCACAGACGCTGCTTTTGAGTTGTGTGCATGACACGTTCAGAGGGAGAAGCTAACACCTGGATCAGGCAGCGGTCAGCGAGCTTCTCCCACTGACAATACGCAGGTCATGGCCGCTTATGGAGAATATTTTGATTAATATTGAAGAGTTGGGGGCATGTAAGGCAATAAAAAACTGATATAATAATAAAAATTATTATATACGGTAGTATATTGGTTAGGACCAAACACAAAGTGTATGGCATGAAAAAATTTAAAAGGATTTCGCCTAGTTGAAACCATTTTTGGCTCCGCCCATTTTTAAGTGGGCGCTGTCTGATTTCATTAGCCGCTGGTGACCTTGGTGTAACAATATTAATAATTACGCGAATAAGATTAAAACTTTAATATTATTACTCATAAGAAATTTTGGATAAGGGTGAAAAAGTTTATTACAGTTCTGTAAGTGCAAAAATTAAGGCTTGACAAATACCTGTAAATGCAATGTAGCTGCGAGACGAGAGGACATACAGTACATAGTGGAGCACCTTTCCTGTATAAGATACGAGACGAGAGGACATACAGTACATAGTGGAGCACCTTTCCTGTATAAAAGATAAATCAAGCCATGGTTATTGTTGACTGACTTTTTTCCTTTTTGTCTTTTTTTCCTTATTTTTCTTCACTATTTCTTCCCGTATTGTGTCCAAATAGCAGTTCTAATTATATTGTTTTCTGAAGACTGTGTTTTACAGCAGTTATTTCCAAGACGCGGTACAAATGTCATATTTTTTAATTACAGTCTTGGAAAGCTAATGCGTTAGCTATTCCGTGCATCTTAAAACGCCTTACAAAAAATGCCTCTAACCTCCTAACCGGGGGCTCCGTCCCCCCTGGATCGCCCGGTATGTTTGATTCATTTGCGAAGGGAACGTCAAAGAAGAAAAGTGTCTAAAAATTGTCTAAACAATCAGAAAAAAACACATAGCTCAACTCGAGAGCCATATTGGTCGAAAATTTAAATTTACCCCAAAAATAAAGTGGTCAACTCTGGCAGTGTTTGTTATGTAACTTAGATTTATGACAACTGTAGTGGGGAGATCAGCTATGCTGGGGTGTAAATCTTGTATTTAACAGGTGTGAAATCACGAGGACTTTTGTTGACATTTGGCAGGACTGGGATCTTTCAGAAGTACCAGATACTGCTACAGTAATTGGATCTTCACTGTTGCTCGTTGAGCAGACAATTTTATTCTTATTTTGCTTAATATTTGATGCTTAATGCAATAGAGGTAGCCCTTTTTTGTGGAAACACTAAAAAAAAATCTTGTTCAAATTCCAAGTTGAGAATCATGAAGTAATTTTTTTTTTTTTTTTTTTACGATATTATGACCTAAACTAACCAATCCTACATGTTATCAGTTGTCTCGCAGTGGTCACAGCGTGGCTAGTGCAGAGAGTGATCCAGAGTTCATAGGGACTGAGACAATACCATCTTCAGTCGATAACTTCCCCGCTGACAAAAACTTACTTCTATAACAAAATCACTTTTAGGTATTAATCATTGACTCAATTTTGGTTTCAGTTTCCTCATTATTTGTTGCTTTTCAATGGAAAACGGCCGTGATTCTGAACTCGGAAGTTGAAAAAACAATATTTTTGCATTTCCACACAAAAAAATACTATCCCCATTGCATTAAGCATCAAATAATGAGCAAAATAAGACTAAAATCGTCTGCCAAACTAGCAACAGTCAAATATCCGATACTGGTACATTATATGATACCGGTAACAGCAAACTGTACAGATGACCTGTTGACGGAGCTCTCTGGTTAAACATGTATGGTGAGATGGGGTCACGTAGTATCCGACAAATTCCCATCTAAGTACTGTACTGTACAGTATTTACTTATCAAAATATTAACTTGTCCACCGGGTAAGTGCCAGGCACATGGACATGAAAAATCACTTGCCCGGGCTGCCGGGCACTTCTAATCTGCACAGCCTGGTCCATATGTTAAGTTTGTCTCCTCAAGGAAAAATGAAATTACTCTCTTGACTGTATATGATGAACTAATGTGAACATGTAGGACAACATTACAAAGTCTATATCTACAGTATGTATCTATCTGTTTAGGCACACATCAACTTGGAATACAGATGTATTAAAATGTGTAGTTACTGTACTGTACTAAAACTATTTCTTTGCAGATACAGTATGTTGGCTCTCAGAAGACTGTCACAGAATGGCCTCCCTGTACAGCCCCTGTCATGCTGCTTCCACGTTAAGTTTCAGATATTGTGTCCTCTCAGGGGAATTGTACAAAAATCTGAGGTAAATCATGCAAGAAGTGAGATATCATCTGCTAATCCAGTCACAAAGAAAAGGAAAAGATTGTCCAAAAAAGATATGCTTACTCTGATTGATGACTCAAAAATGACTCTGGGTCCTACTGCTCTCTCCCAAGAATTGGATGTAAATGTGAAACCTGAGATTGGAAATATCAAAGAACTTATAAAGAAACTCAGGACACAAATCCGGGTAAACAAAAGTGGCAGTCGCCAGTATCTCTTGGATCGAGATGCAGCACAAAAGTTAGTGAAACATCTAAAGAAAGATTTAGGAGAGAGTGATATTATTGTGGAATCTTGTCCTGGTCCAGGTGTACTCACAGAAACTTTGCTGACACAAACAGATAATAATGTGATTGTTTATGAACCGCACGATGTTTTACGAACCAATTTAGTGAAAACACTGCTTCCCCAGCATCATTCTTGTTTACAAGTGTATAATCTTGACCTTGAAAAGTTTTATGCATATTATATCGGCGACCAGCGTGAACCAGAGCAAAACATGATACATAAACTCCTAAGCCCGTTACATGTTAAAAGAGATAAAATGATATCTCCTGTGAAAATTGTTGGTGTAATTTTTGATTTCAAGTTTGTTATTAGATTAGTTTTAAGTTTTGCTTTTCAGTGCTGTTTTTATGAGGAAATTTTTCCAGTTTTGTATTTATACATACCATCAAAAATTTATAATCGAATTGCAGTAGACTCAGATCATGTTGTGTATAGCTACATAAGTATTCCATTCCAATATTATTTCCGCCTGGAGTGTCTGGATATGGCCCCCAGGGAAGCATTTTACCCACCTGATACACGGAATTTAAAAGAGAGATCAGCTGTGACTAACTCCTTGCATCTGGTCAAGATTTCTCCAAACTTGGAACTATTTGAGAAGGTCAGTAACTTTCTGTGCTAATAAAGTATTCAAAACCATATTAGGGCTCAATTTTTTATTATTTTTAAAGCCATAATCATTTTGTGTCAGTAAGCCAGGTAGCAATTGATGACCAACACTTGCAGGTAAATATTGAGGCACCAATTATGTTTCATGTACAGTATTGCAAAATTTTAACCAGAATATCTTTTTGTTTTTTATTACAAATACTTTTATGGTTGCCCCCATTTTTATATTGATGACAACTTTTTTTTACATCAGGTGTCAAAAAAGGAGTTGGTGAGTTTCCACTACTTCATGAACACAGTAGCTCGCATCAAGAGAGTAGACACGCTAATCATGTGCCTAGAGAGGTGGATACCCGATTGTGGACCCCAACTTATCAAGGTAAGTTTTCTACACTGTTCATCCCAGTCAGTGTTTCATATCGTCTTCCTGCTTCTGTATCTGGCCAGTTGGCAGTACAGTATTTATAACACATTCAATATAAGACAGCTAGAGGAGAATATATTGACAGCAAATGAAGGAATATCAGCTACCATGCACCATAGTGGGAAAAGCTATTCCCAGGAAACAGCAATGTACTGTATGTGAATAATAGGAGCACAGTGGTGTTAGGTGCTTGAGTGACTTATGGGTAATTAGAGTATGGCAAGAACAACAAATGAAGAGCACCTATGATTGCTTTATATTTTGCAAGAGTGAACAAAAAAATCTGGATGTAACAACATGTAAATTTTGAGTAAACTTTTTTCTTTCAGAATGGTTTACGTGTCTTTTGTCATCCAAGGGAGCTGACATCTGAGCAACTTCTTTTGGCATACAGAATATTCACCAGTTTGCCTTTATACGAGGGATCAGTTTTTCATTACCACTGTAAACAGTTTGCGGCTAAACTTGGAGAGAAAGATGAGGAAATCTCAAATCTGAAAATAGCAAAGGAAGTTATTGATATGGAGGAAGACGAACTGCTGGAGTCATGAAACTTAATGCAAATATTGTAACTTCACTGGTTAGGGAACCATGGCTTGCAGTTGTTAAAATCAAGGATTTTCCAGATTCAGAATAGGGCAGATCTGAAGCACCAGAACTCCAAAAGAAAATATAAAGTCCATTCAAATGAAATCTAAATTTTAAGAAATGAAGATTGAAAAGGTATAGAAGGGAAAGAGAAAAGCTTGAATAATTCATGGTGGAAGAGCAGAAATTATAAGATGAAATAAGCTGGGAGGTCTTATCTTCACATTATACTGTAATTATATAAGAAGGTACTGTAGTAAAATATGAATATGCTCAGTAAAATGTAAAATTCTTGTAAATATTTTATTCAGCACCACAAGAGCATCATCATCACCATACAGAAGTCAAATATTCAATTACAATGGCTCACTGTACATATGATAAAATATACATACATTTGTAAAATCCTGACTTTGTGTATTGCACATAAATAACCACATTTACCTATGACCTAAAATATTCAAGGGAGATCACAAAACAGTACATGATGAGGCACAAATATTTTGGTACTGATATATACCTGTACTTAGCAACATATAAATCAGTATCAAGACCTTGAGACTGATATAGAGAGCCCGCTCTACCCATTCCCCTGTACACCACAAGCGAATAAATAATTAAATAAATTAATAAAAATCAGTAAAACAAATAAACTGGACTGGCAAACAAGTGTAATATATACACAAACTTGCTAACCTGTCTGTGATTTTGAAATACATAAGATAAAATTTGCATAGCATAACACATCTATTCCAACAAATGGCAGTGAATGAGAGTGTGTGTTTGTGTGTTTTGCTCTTGCTTCCAGCCATCCTACAAAATAGTGAAAAGAGGCTTGAAAGGGTGAAATCAAAGGTACTAGAAATAAAAATACAGTAAATGAATATAAAATAAATTTTACCTATGATAAATAAAGCTAAAATCCTAACACCATAATGTTGGGGTTGGCAGAGTTTGAGTAGCTCAATGCATTGACATTGCTGGTGGCCTATGTGGCACAAACCACTCAGAGTAACACCTCACCAATCCTGCTTGACAGAAGACTGAACCCCAAGTCTCATGGGTTGGAAGTCAAGAGTGCTGCCATCTGACCCATGGAACCCTCAAGCAAAATAATTGATTGACAAAACGGAAAAGTGGCAAATGAAACGGCAATTAAGCTAATAGATGTAACAGTGTAGAGTGGGCCCTGATACCACAATACAGAAAGTCCCAAACACCAAGTGGAACAGATTTAGGAGTTTGGGACATTAGATAAAACACATTACAGTATTGTTGAATTATTGGGTGAAAAGTAATCACAAAATGCAGTGGATTTTTTATACCACTCATATTGAAATGCCTCTGAGGAAATAAATTAAATCGATACTTAGAAAATTATCCTTCAATATTAGTCACAGTAGCTGAAAGAAAACCACCAGCACTATTGCCCACAGATAATATCAAACCTTGGAAAAAGAAGTGTACTGTATTGTCCAATTCTACCAAAAAATTTAAAAAACAAAAACTATTTACATTACAAATATGAGAAGAAAATTCTTGGCAGTAACTTATTTTTTTGGCTCATTACCTCTTATACACAACTTTATTGATGCAACATCAACTTATGTACAAATTAAATTAACAGGGCCACTAGGCTACTGAGTCATTGTTATCACAGGTTATGTTCATAGACGCAAATTGGACAGTGTTATCGTGACAATAAATTAAAGAAAAAGCTTTCTGTGGCATAGAATACTAATATCCAAATTTTTATGAAAAAGGAAATTGATATACAGTACAGTACAGTACACAATTCCAGAGCAAAGAAAATCAATAATGTGTACACATCTCCATGACAGAGACAATTGATACATTTATTTCCATGGCACAGAACTCGGTTAACACATTACAAATTGTCATCACTAAACTATAACTGTCAAACTTTTGTCAAATTAGTTTATGTGTGAGAGTACATCAATACTTCATCTAGAACCCAGTTAATCCAGAATTTCATATTTCAGTATGCAGATTTAATGGACTGAACTACGTTACAGAACCGTGTCCCACCTAATATTATGGGAACAGTGGAATGGAGTACTGGATCCATTTCTGAATAAAGTTATTAATTAAACTTACAGATATTGTTTGAGGATACAAGGGATGAAATACCCGGTATTACTGTATTACTTTTTTACAACAGAGTATTGTACTGTACTCCCCTAGTGAAGCTTAAGTAAAATCCCATAACAGCATCTACAAAATGTTCATCATGGCACAGCACAATTTACTATTTATTCTTTAACCTATTTTGCCCTTTGATACATCGGATTAACTAGTTCCTAGAGTCAACACACTAGCGTATAGATATTTTACTTATTTCAATACAGTACACTCAAATTATTAATGATATAATAGATGCAATATAAGCACCATGTGCAAAAGTAAAAATGTAGAAAATGGTATCTATAGATTACTGAAACTTTCCCCATATATAAAAGTATTTATAGATATAAAAAGATTCTCGAGCACTGATACAATACTACTTTATCTTACTTTACATGATATCCACCTGATTTATTTTTTAAATAGAACCCACATGTGGAGATGCAATAATTTGATTAAATTTTTATTCAAGTTGGAGAAAAAATCCTCAATATGACTTTAGTCTCCAAACTCTCCATTTGCGAGTTTATTTCCTGATATGTCGTGTAAGTGTGATTGTGTTTTCACAACTCTTTCATAAACTGATATAGTCTGAAGTACAGAGGTAACTGGCCAAATGAGGCCTAGTCCTAATATTAGGACTAGGCCTCAGTTGAACCTGACCTAAACTAATAATTAAATTAGGATTTGAGCCTTGGGCCCCAATCCAAATGATTAGGTCAGGGGTTGCTAAGACTGGAGTCCATTTGACCTAGGACCAGTATTAAGAAAGAATTTACATAGTACTGTACCAACAAATATTTTTTAATAAATATAAATTCTTTTTCAGTCAGGAATCATTTGAAGAATCTTCAAATGCACCTTTACCAAATATTTCATAATGTGGCAGCAGTCAGCAAAATTCTTACTATTTGTTAATTTTTATGATTTTATATAGAAAATTTAAGCATAATTTTGCTGTTCTGGGCCACAATCAGGGACAATTTTGTCAAATTATCCACCTTGTAATCATGAAGGGTCAAAGCCAGAATCTAAAAACAAATTGGCATTTGTATAGGTGCCACTTATCAGCCACTAGCAAAACTTGAAGACTGTTGACTATGGCAAGAAATATATCTCTGTATACCAGGCCTTTTACTCCCCTACCTCACATTCCCATATTAATGTCAGATAGTAGACTCTGTTTCTGATCCATTCAAATATTAAAATCTACTATGATATAAAAGTGTAAGTAGTGTACTAAGATAGTCTTCAAAATGAACCAGCTGCTAGCCAAATTCATGTGACTTCTGGACACATTCAGCTGCTCCTAAACACAGGGTTCCTGTATCTGATAATAGAAAAACTAATACGTATCCATACATTAGTTAATCTTAAAACCAATGTGTATTAATCACCTAGATTCACTGTTCTAAGTATGTCATCATCCACTTGATCCCAAAGCCTCTTTAAATCTCCTTTGGGCTTCATAACTAACATGGCAGTAGTATCATTATTTCTTATAAATAACATGCTGCCCAGTTTCCCCACCCAGAGACTAGACATTGTCAGTAAGACTAGAATCACATATTATTTGTAAGTAAAGTACAAGTTACAACAGAGTATAGTGTTAGTCATATGGTGTACAATAATTTGAAGCAACAGATGAACCTCACTGTCACCAGATATGACAGTAATTATGTTGTACACAGTTTTATTAAGAACCAACTGCTAACCAAGTTAACTTGTTCACCTAACATCTATATGTCAGATCGAATTGCTCCTGGAACAAACTCTTAATGTGACAACAGAAAATTATTACCTTGTACAGTACTTGCCCCATTTTTTAACACTTTACCTTACAATACTTAAACCATGGACCCTTTGATCCCCAGCCTCTTCAAATCTCCTTTGAGCCCTCTACCTCAGAATTTAGTGAAAGCCCTGTGTAAACACTGTACTATATGTGGGAAATTCTCAAATTTTCGTGACCTTGACCAGGTTAAGGGTTACATTAAAAGTTGTATTGCATAGCATATTATTTTTAATTGACCACAAATAGCTTTATTTTGAGGAATTAGTTGAGCAAGGCTAAACACGGTTTAATCTTTGGTCATATAACAATTAAAAGTCGGTCATGACACTCACCCACTAAAAAAAATATAACAAAACAGCCTCAGAAATTTCTCACTTCTTAAATGACTGCATGAGCCGCTGGTGGGTGAAAAAGTTGATATCTTTTACACCATTTCCCAAAGTTTATGGCACTCTCCATACAAGAACGGTGAGCTTGCTCATGGGCATTGACATGGCAAGTGAAAAGTTCAGCACACACCATATCAGAACATCACCCCTCCAACTGCCTGACCACATGTTTCAGGGGTTCAGAGTACAGACCAGTATATACTCATTTTCAATAAACAAAAGCTAAAGGATGAATTGTCCACCAAGAAGTGGAATTATCAGACCTAGAGTGAGGATACTCCTATACAAACCAGTTACAGCTAGTTCAGCAGCAGTATTAATGGCAGTAGGTACACTTTGGATGACACTTTTGACCTCTTATTCCACATTTACATCCACCAGACACATCTCCTGGTCCCTGTGGATTAGGAAAAATATTGTAAAAGTTTTGCTGCACATCAAATAGAAAAAAAGTGCACAGGTACACAATATGGACTTAATAAATTAGGATTTGAGAAAGTTACTTTCTACAAATTATTGCATGATGACTAAAACAATTTTTAGGTATCCATTCAAGAACGTAAATCAACATGAAGACAGTCACCAATATCTGGTCGCAGCCCAAAACCAATATACAGTAGTACTGTACTTACATAAACTGAAATGATTACTAAGGATGCCAACTGTGAGGGAAGCTTAACTGAAAATGATCTTATTGTAGAACTGTATTTTGTAACATCTTGCCAATGTCTTGAAGTGATAAACTGTATACTGTACGGTCATTTCATTTACATGTACAGTAAGTGTAATGTGTTTTTATAACCTTTCTGACTCTCTATATTGTGAGTACCAAAATCCTCACTCACTCATCCCACCCTGAGGCTCCACTGTGGTCCCCTATTCACCACTGTGAGGTAAACCAATTGTTACTCACCCCAGGACCCCACCGAGGTCCCCTGGTAACCCAGCAGATTTCTGTTCGACACATGGGACAACGCATCCAGTCACAGCCCCATTTTCGCATTAGCATCACCGAGCACTTTGGACAGGGTAGCCCATCTCCACGACGAATCATATCCTACAGAAAAAGTGGTACTTAGGATCTCAGCTATCAGAAATATCCTGTGATATGCACGATGGTTTGTTAATTAAAATTATAAATATAATGACTCTGGTGAAGATGTAAAGCAGATAATGGTGCTGTGGACTGTTCTCTAGGGAAATGGCAAAAGTCAAAATTCTAAAATTAGAAAAGAGTAATTCTAGACTGACGAGAGACATAAAAATGTTGAGTGCCTGCTGACTGAGTTCTGCATAACAAAAATCTAATTTTTAACACACTAAAGTAAAATAAATATGATATAGTTAAAGAAAAATTGGCAAATCTGGTGTAATGTTTGATAGAGCACAAGAGCTTTCATAGCCAGTCAATGGCTGTCTCAAAAAGAATAAAAAAGAAAACAAGGTTGATAACAATTGGGAACACCTCCTGTGCCAAGCCACAATAAAGTCCAAGGGCCCTTAACCTTGGATAGTGATGACAAAAAAGGTGATTATTGAAATTTGGTTAAAATCAATCACTGTTCAAGTACAGTACTGTACTGTAACTTAATTATGTTTATAACTTCAAACAAGCAGATGGTCACAAACAGTGAGCATGAAGTCCTTAGTGCCTTTCTCAGGAGTGCTAGGGACATTAAAGGGGAAGTGTTTATTGTTTATAAATAATATTCAAATTGGTACAGTACTTACATCAAAGAATTTTTTGGTCTTCATGGCTGCTTCATCCACTTTCTGAGCGAGGTCATCCTGATACTCCTGGCATGTGGTGCCTTCATGCTGAGCCTGCAAATAGCATGTACTGTACAGCCTAACTGTACATCATCATACTATGCAAATACTGTGCTGTACTATACTGTACTGTACTGTACACAAGCCATAACTCATTTACAAAGTTGGGATTTGCTGTTTATCAAATTCTGACAAGATACCTGTACTGTATTCATGAAATGAAGCTGCATATATAATTCACCTCAGTCTAAGGCTTTCTTCAAGCCACTATATACAACAGAATCATATTTTATACGAACAGAAAGACAAACAGGGCAATCATATTTGCACCTTTCACATTCTGTGGTGGGGTACAGTTATAAGACAATGAAAACTATGTTCTGCCTGTATGTCTGAAAAAATCCAGTCTCTTTATATACTGCATCTCCTATTATTTGTTGCAACACTCAACATTACAAATACAAATCCTGAATGAATAACAAAGAGAACTTATATCGATTCTTGACCACATTGTTTTTTCATACCTGACAAGTGAGGCAATTAACTTTCTCGCAAACATCACAGTGGAATGAGTTGACGTTATCCTCAAATTGACAGAATCCTGGGCAGTCGGGCGTCTTACAGTGAAACACATTCTGCATGGTTCCTTCTGCTTGCTTGACAGACTTGGTCAAATGTTTGTCATACTCCTGCGGTGTCACCAGCTGAAGCCAAACATAATACTGTACTGTACCATGATAAAAATACAATAAACACATCAACAATTAATTATTTTACTATATGTACAGGTATAGTATATAAGGCAACATCTCATTCTAAATGAGTGGTTGTCACCAAAAAGTGACCTTGAAAACCATAGGTGGCAATTAATTAGTACTACTGTATTAGAAAAGTAATTAGTGTTAGAAGAGTATAATTAAAAATTTTGAGATGTCATTTGGACAAGTAATTACTGTATACAGATAACAGATCCTAAATCAGCATGTTCAGGAGTACATATACAGTATTGTGATTGTAAACAAAATCTGTGAGATTAAGATTATGGCCTTATAGGATTTTAGGCCAAAAACACTTTTTCTCTGAGAATTGAAATGTAATGTGTCTAACTACTTCAGTACATCCAGAATAACACATAAACACCAAAAAGTGACTCTGAAAACACTCATATTATAGGTATACTTTTAGCTTTATGAAAAGCCCACAATGACATAATTTCCAGCCAATGCTTAGTTACCTTTGTTTCTGAATAAATAAGCCCTATATTCACATTACTTTGATTAAACTGGAAACAAGCAAAAAACTCAAAATTACTTGACTTACAGCTTTGATTTCTCTGTCCTGCAGAGAAGAATCACAGGAGTACTGGTTGTCTCGATAGGGACACTTCACGTCAGCTGTGTCAGAGTATTTGACAGCACTCGCCAAGCAATCCCTGAATAAAAATTAAATATAAATTTTTTTATATTGTTCCTAGAATGGAGTATACTGTTCCTTCCTTGTGATGTATATTAGCCCTTGTACACTAGCAATAAATGAGTACCTGTACACTATCAGATCCAGTATGGAAACTCACTAGCAGCTGAATGCTAAGAATATGGAAATCAGCACCTGGCCAGCCACACAGTACCACAGCAGAAACTGGTTTGCTGAGAAAATATCATGAACACGTACTGTATACTGTACTATATATCATAATTTTTGCACACACAATAACAAGAACAGACAGACAGATGGAGAGCAACCCTTGAGTCCCCTTCAAGTTTTACAAGTACAATACTGAAGAGGATTGAAGATGTAAACTTGGTACATGTCTAGGCAATATGGACATACCAAATATGTAGCACTGCAAATTATCTTTGGCACAGGTATGGTGAGTTATGGCCAGGGGAATATGACACCTTCAATTGATTCTTGTTGGGAAAGTTACGAAAATTCTCATCCTGCTTTACAGCTCTGATAATGTTCATTACACTCACCTGCAGAAGGTATGGAGACAGTCTCGCAGTACAACGCCTTCACTTACTCCCACGTCCAGAAAGCAGACACGACACTCAAATTGGTCTGGGTTGGGTACATAACCCTGGCGTTCCAGTGCAGATACCACAGCACCTAGCCCAGACCCCTGAAGGAAAATAAACCTAATGTAAATGAACATTTTTTTTTACTTCTACAACTGCTTTGCCATATAAAACTGGAATGAAGACCAGCACAGACTTTGTCATAACCCTTTGGCTGCATATTTCCCTAAGCTGAATAAAATCTCCCCTGACAATTGCCAGAATAAAATTATGAAGCGTGGAAATCACAGCGAAAGCATGAATCAATCTCTCTGTTAGCCCTATCAGATTGTTCTGCTACAGTGCTCTCCTTCCACAATATGCCTTAAGACACCCATCTGGTTTGTTTCCTGCATCATATATCACTCCCAGCATCACATATTAGCAAAATGTCAATCCCCCACAACAAAGGAAACAAATAAAATATGCAGACTTACAGTAGACTCAAATAAGTTGTTGAACCATACCAGAAAAAATAAAGTTTACAAATTGTGAACTGATAAGGAAGTGTTAGGACACCTTGTTGAAGATAAAGATTCATTTTAATTATTGCACATACAAGCTGGTGGATGAATAAACGTACAGTTGTACCCCGATTTACGCGGTCAATTGAACCCACAGGGTACCGCGGAAAGTGAAAACCGCGTAAAGTGAACAACAGAACATATGGGATTAATTCCAATAGAGACTGGCCCGACCCCCCAAACTCCACTTTTTCCGACACAATACCTATGTTGTAGTAAAAATAACATCTAAATTTTATGATGGTATGCTCACACTATTAATATTTAAGAGAAATACAGTCGCCAGGTTAATGTCCATTCAAATAATGGACTCAAATCCCACCCCCCCTTCTTCCCAGCTCACTGGCCCCTACCTCTCTGAGAAATGATTGGGTGAAACACTAGATTTTAACGTTTAGTAATAAATAATACCTCAGACTAAAGTTAGGATAATATAATTGACATTTCTGGATTCCTTGCAGGTCAGGGAATATTTTGAATGTAAACTTCATATACAGTGACCCCTCGTTTAACGAACACCTCGGTTAACGTAATTTCGATTAACGAACTGCCTTCCATAAGGATCTTCAATTCGTTTAACGAAAAAAATTTCGCTTAACGAACTTCTTACGAACCGACCTCAACATGTTTTCGCTTGCACTGACCGGGCAACCAGCTTTAGTATCAGTCCGCCAATACATTAATCGGTTCTAGGGCTTAAATTCCTTACTATTTTTGTAAATATCAAGAAGTTTATACTATTCAATTATTTTAAAAGTTTAATATTCAATTTTTTAGTCATTTTAACAATTATTGAACAAAATTGAAGGTAAAGTGACTAGTTTAATGCGCGGCATCCAGCCTCTTAACACAGCAAACAGGCGTCAGTCTCTCTCTGTTTTCACTGGAGGTAACATCTTGCTTGAGACTCTCTTCAACTAAACGCTTTTTTTCTGTGTTTCCAAGCAAATTATTGGTCATTTTGAAAATTATTTTACATATTGACAATATATAGTGCAGTGCAGTGTTATTTTAAAGAAAATATTCTTTATTTACAGCTAGTTTAACTTTGAAAAATACGTGTTGCCATTGTTTGAATCCAGCATGGGGCCTAAGAGATCAAGAAAAGTGATTTCAATCCAAATGAAGCAGGAAATAATAAAAAAACACGAACAAGGTATTAAATCAAATGCGCTATGCAAAGAATATGGCATGTCGGCATCAACTGTGTCGACAATTCTTGCACAAAAAGACAAATTTAAGGAAGTGAACGTGAGAGACAAATCTACAAGAGTGTTTAAAAGTAGATCCCTAATCGTAGAAACTGAGAGGTTACTTATCATCTGGATTAGGGAAAAACAGATGAAAGGTGATTCAGTTTCTGGTGATTTCATTTGTGAAAGAGCCAGGGAGATTTATGAACATTTAAAGACAGATCAACCTGGTTCTTCAGGAACAGAATTTGAAGATTTTCGGGCTAGCAAAGGCTGGTTCGAAAAATTTAAGAAAAGAAGTGACATTTTAAGTGTTGTTAGGCATGGTGAAGCTGCTAGTGCTGATAAAGAAGGGGCAGCAAAGTTTTTAATTGAATTTAAAAAACTGATGGAAGAAGAAAATTATCTTCCACAGCAAGTGTTCAATGTTGACGAAACTGGGCTGTTCTGGAAAAAGATGCCCAAAAGAACATTCATCACCAAGGATGAAGCCTCTTTACCTGGGCATAAACCCATGAAAGACCGTCTCACTCTATTGCTTGGTGCCAATGCTTCAGGGGATTTCCGACTGAAGCCTATGCTTGTCTACCACTCTGAAAACCCCAGGGTGTTCAAGCAACAGAAAGTGGTAAGAACAATGCTTGGAGTTTATTGGAAGTCCAACCGTAAGGCATGGGTGACAAGACAGTTCTTTAATGAATGGGCTATTGATGTGTTTTGCCCCTCTGTCAAGAGCTACCTAACCACCAATAAACTTCCTTTAAAGGCTCTTCTCCTCATGGATAATGCTCCTGGTCATGACCCTGACCTTGCCAGAAATTTGGAGTATAAATTTGACTTTGTGAAAGTGTTGTTTTTGCCTCCAAACACTACATCACTCATACAGCCAATGGACCAGAATGTGATCAGCAACTTCAAGAAGTTGTACATGAAGAAAATGTTTAGGAGGTGTCATCAGGCAACTTCCATTGATCCTGAACTAACACTGAAACAGTTCTGGAAGACACAATTCAACGTCCTGGAGGCTGTAAAATTGATTGTGTCATCATGGCAAGAAGTCTCCAATAGAACCCTCAATTCTTCATGGAAAGCACTGTGGCCATCAGTAGTCCATGATTTTGAGGGATTTGAGGATGACACAGAGTTGGACCAGGAGATTGTGTCCATTGGTCAGTCATTGGGTCTTGAAGTGGAGGAGAAGGATGTGGAAGAGCTTGTGATGTCTCATGAGGAGGAACTTACTCCTAATGACTTGAAGGAACTGGATGAGATGTTACGGGTAGAGGCTGACAGTGGTGAGGAGGAAATTGAAAGTGATGACCATATGTCAGCTAAACAGTTGAAAGATGTGATTTACCACTGGGAGAAGTTCAGGGAACTGGCTTCAAAGCACCCAGAAGTGGAAAAAACTGAACTAACTTTGTGTCATGTTGAGGACTCAGTGGTCTCCTTCTTTAAACATAAGTTAATGGTGAGGAGGACAGATGCCCCACAGACCACAATTGACACTTTCTTCAGTAAAAGGCAGAGGGAACAAGATGCTAGCCCTCAGCCTTCCACTTCAAGAAGGAGAGAGGATGTTCATGGTGGAGAATCTGTCAGTCCAGAGGTTCCTGACATTTTCATGGAAGGTGACTCACCTTCCAAGAAGCAGTAAAATGCTTCTCCTCCACCTCCACTTCCTTCTCTTCTCCCTTCTCCTCCTGCACCTCCCACTTCAAATGCACATCATCACCATCATCCAGGAGCCTTCTACATACACACCTCAAAGTAAGTAAATTTTTCCGCCATTTTTGTTGAAGTTAGGAAATTTTCGGTGAGCTGGAACCAATTACCCAAAAACCCATTGAAACAATGGTTTCGGTTAACGAACGTTTCGGTTAACGAACGACCTTCTGGAACGGATTGAGTTCGTTAACCGAGGGGCCACTGTATTTTGCACAAAAGATAAAATATTTGCTTTGTGTAAACCAAATTATTACATTAGATCTAAAATTTGTATGTCTAATGCAAAATCCATGATGTTTATATTCAAAATAATCATCATATTGTAAGAATTCCAGCAATGTAAATTATATTCTGGCCGGGTAATTTGTATGAATTTTATGAGCTAAATAAAAAAAAATAAAAAATTATACTTCATGCGTATATGAGTAGATGCACCGCGGAAAGTGAAAGTCCGGTTCTGGCAAGGTACCGCGTAAATGAGAAATCGCGGAAAGTGAAACCGTGTAAAGCGGGGTAATACTGTATTGCATTATTTTTGTCAGCCCATTCCTACCACTTATTTTTATTTTTCTCACACTACTACTTACCCTTCCTGCCCCTTCTGTTGGGATCCTGTCACCCTTTAACCATCCCACACAAATGTAGGAGACACAAAAAGATAATAAAAAGATAGAGTAATAGAGATGTACACTCGCACCAAAAAGTATCGGTGCAGGGTGAGATCGATGAGTTCCGAAACAATACGTATACACTGTGATATGTCGGGAAGGTTGGTAAGTGTACCCTCATAAACACCCCCCCCTTTACTAGGTGTTGCCATATGGCTGACAATCAGGGCTGCCAACATATGGCTGGAACAACTCGACTTTCCCAATACCTATCGTCACTGGTCTCAAATTGTTCACACTACAGTATGCACCGATACTTTTTGTTGCGAGTGTACATACAGTCAGATAGACAGAGATAGATATAGATTATAGTCGAGTAATAAGAGATAGATACATAGCTTAGACAGATAAATATATTGATAGATAAATAGGTAAGTAGGCCAAGACAGATATAGAGAAATACATACTGTACATGTATAGAAAAAATATATATTTACCTTATTTTTGAGACTTTATACTCCTTGGTTCACCTAATACAAAAGTGGGATACAAATATAGATAACAGGGAGACTAAGAGACAACAGAAACTGCAAACTCACCTTGTCCGAGGTCCCTGTGGCTTGTGCGTGCATAGTGCCCGGGCGTTCGGTGGCACACGCTTCACAACCGGGCCGGGTCCAAACATTGACTAAGGTACATCTCGGACACACCCAACCGTGGACCTTGGTGGGTGATGGAAGCTCTGTCGTCACATCCACCTGCTGCTCTGGTGATTGTGGTTTGCCTGTCTCCTTATTTCTTAACTGAGGACTGGAAGGATCTTTATTTTTTGTTTGTCTTTGTTGCTGGGGCGGTGATGACCGAGTCTGGTGTTTTAGTTGTCCTACCTCATGCTGTGATTGGGAAGAATGATGCAGTGTTTGGGGTGACTGAGGTTGCAATGAGTGGGATGATTGATGCTGTGATGACTGGGATGATTTATGTTGAGATGATTGGGATAATTGATGCTCCTCTGATGACTGGGTAGAATGATTTTGCAATGGTTGCTTCACATTATGTTGTGATGTGCTTATTTGCTGTTGCCATTTTGATAAATGTTTAGGTTGTGGTGACTGATTGTGTGTTTGTGTAGGTGTTTCCTGTATATGATTGGATAAAATGGGTGTCTGCATAGGTGTGCCCTGAGTTTGACTGGATAAAGTTGTTTGTGTAGGAGTTGTCCGAGGTTGACCGGATATAAGATGAGGAGATTGTTGTTGAGGTAAATCCTGTCGTGACTGTGGCTGCTGACTTTTGTTTAGTAGAGTTTGAGCAGGTTTTGGCAAGTGCAATTGTTTTGAGCTGCACTGGTTAAGCGATGGATTTTGAGCATGTTGTTGTTCATCTTGAATGCTGACTGAATCTTGCTGGGATTTTGGTGTGATGGCAAGATGATGAGTTGAGGATTGTTGTTGTTTCTGATGTGGTTGGAATTGATTTGTTGCTTTCACTTGCTGCTGTTGTTGACCATTAGGTATTGTAATATCATGAGATTGTTTCCGTTGTTTTTGCGGTAATTGTTGTTGCTGTCTCGAGCTTGGTGTAGAACTGGATACTTGTCTCTCCAGTGGTTGAGTTTGATTGTGTTTCTGTACATTACTTTGATCACAAGCAGACTGACTTTCAGTGGCAGAATTATTATTTGTTTGACTAGTAGACATTGCTTTAGAATGTATATTTATATCATTGGTTTGACTAGAAACATTAGTTGCAGTGCTGGCAACATGGGATACACTCAGAGGCTGTGGTAATGAATATTTACCATCTTGCAATTGAGGTGAGGTCGATTGATGTGCCTTTGTTTCACTTTCCTGTAAATCAGTTTTTTTAGTTGCTACTGCACTATATGCAAGTTGAGGATTCTCTTCTTTATCTCGTTTATTAATATTAACATTTTGATACATATTTTCATCCTCTTCTTCGAGTGTGTCTTCATCATCACTATTAACATCATCATCATCATCATCATCATCATCTTCTTCACTATAATCACTATCATCCATGTCAACACTAATTTCATATATTTTTGTTTCTGGGTTATAAAATTTATATTCAATATTACCTTCTTCATCAGACACCTGTAAGTACCTTGCAAGTCCACTCTCAGTTTTTGCCTGTGAATAATGACTTCCAGGAGCATCAACACCATTTACTGCAGCAGCTCTAATGGAGGGCTTCTGTGCTTGCACCTTGGGCTGTGAATCTGGTGCCACTAAGTAGAGAAAAATGGGACAACCTTCTGTGGTAACCTTGTGGTGCTCCAAGGTGTGGTTAGTTTTTGCCTGTGAATAATGACTTCCAGGAGCATCAACACCATTTACTGCAGCAGCTCTAATGGAGGGCTTCTGTGCTTGCACCTTGGGCTGTGAATCTGGTGCCACTAAGTAGAGAAAAATGGGACAACCTTCTGTGGTAACCTTGTGGTGCTCCAAGGTGTGGTTGTCGTCGTCTGCCAAGCGTCTTCCCAGGATCCATCGCTGAACCTCTGGTGGGAATCCAAAGTCTTGACACACCTGAAACATGAGAACCAAGAATTGCCTTGTAATCCCAAGCTCCATTTATTCTGGCAGATTTTTCCACCACAAACCGGCATCCTTTTAATGGAGGGGAGGCTGCTGGGGGTATTCGTTCCTCCTCTTATACGTATTTAGATGTTATAACAAGTCCAACTCCTTGATATGCCACAAGGTATAGCATAGTTTTATTACTAATATTATATTGGATTGATGTTTTTTTTTATAAGGTGAAGCAGAAATTCAAACCTTTATAATGATACCTAAATTAACAGCACAGAATGAAGAGATAGAGGCACTCTCACTCCCTATTCTAAGTTATTTTCAATTTTGATTATGTAGATCATGTGTTTTTTGCCTAAATACAAATTAGTAGCAGCAAATCTGAATTGTTGACATTGGGCTTAAATGTTTTCTCACTAGTTATATTTTCTTGGAACTGGTTGCTACACATGCTAGTAAAAAATTAAGGAGGAACCCCCCTTCAGTGCCCTGCTCATGTAGAGATGGCAAGGAGGATGCCACACAATGAACTTTTTACCACATGGAAATCTTTACTGATTTATAGTGTTAAAAAATCTAATGGAATTTATTAAATTTGGGGGGTTAACACCCTTAAAATCTAGCATTTCAGCCCAAACGTGAGAGAAATTTTGATATACAGGTATACTGTAAAGTAAATGTAACAGGTACTCGTCAGTTTAGAAAGCTCCTTGACGTCTACTTTTAACTTGGTTAAGGCTTCGCCTTTATGATACTGTTTATCTAAATCTTTAGTTGCAATTATTATTGGGACAAGTTGCTGAATCTTTATCTGTGTTTCCATTCATTGTTCCTCACCTTCTTTCTCAGTTCTCCCACAGTCATGGAAGCCATCACAGTAAATGTGATGGGACCTTGGTGACTGTTCTTGTCCTCCACATACATCTTCACACTGACAAAATAAAAAATGTATAAGAAAGGATCATCTAGGACTCTATAAAAACGTAACATAACAACTACAGAACCTACACAAACAAGCTGTCATCATTACATTTCCTTCCAACCTTTTAAACTAAATTGGGCTCAGTCCAAATGACTCCCTATATTTATGAACCCCTATCTTAATGCTTAGGTTAAGATGGCACCCATTGGAACTGGAAGCTCATTTGACCTGCATTCCACTATGGTCCATTTGTCCTGCAACCAGCATTTAATGTCCCAAAAATCAAAGCCCTTATTATATGGCAGTGTCATCTACCTCACTAATTCAAGATTCATCTCTACTGACTGCTTAAATTAACATTCCTGGGTGATTTGCTGTACAGGTAACAGTCACACCTGAAATATTCATATTATTTTCAGGTAGTTTTTGAATTTTTAAAGAAAATATAGCTCCTGTAGTTCTCTTTACACAGGATGGGGAAATTATCCTTTACTCCGTTTGAGTGGGAAGAATCAAGGTTTATAGGAACTTCAATAGAAGCTGGAAAGAGTAAAGATGAGACAATAAAAACAAGTGTAGAAACTGACAGAAAAGGGCTAAGAATACAAGAACAGAAACGCGAACGCACGCACGCACATACATACAGTATTGTACATAGACAGGAGTATTTCCTTACAAATTCAAGACACAGAGTACCAAGTGATTCCTATCCCTCCATACTGATTCACAAAGCTTCATGTCAATTAACTGTCCACGTTAAGTCATTAGGAGTCCAATTTCTAAAATTCATGGAAAAAAATATTTAAACAACACAAACTTATAAAAAAACAAAAATAATCTAGTGTAACTTACTTGAAAGGCAGTAGAGCCTCACTAAGATCTTTCATATAAACTGGCGGTCCATCAGGTAATTTACTTATGGTGTCAGATTTAACTTCACGTCTTGCTGGATCAACTCGAGTGTCCCGTCTGGTGATGATTTCTTCTTGAACATCACCAGTAGTTTGAATTTCCCCAGTGGCAGATCCTATTTGAGTATCATTAATAGAGTCTGCAGAAGCTGATGTCTGCAGAGGTGTTGGAGAGAGATATCCAATACTTGGAGTTTCTGTTGCATTTGATGATAAATCATTTGAAATATCTGTGTCAGGCAACTGCACCTTATCAACATTGTGTTCAATAATATCTATATCATCTAAGTCTAACTGAGCCTCAGGTTCATTTATATTTATATCCTCATGGTCTAACATTTCTGAAGCATCATAAAAGCATTCTGACATATTACTGGTAGGAGTTCGAGTTCCGTTTAAATCAATGTTTGGATTAGTATCGGGTAAGATATGTTCAGACTCAGATGGCACGAGTGAGGTGGCAGGGAGGAGGGAGGATGTTAGCATGGTAACCTCATCATCGATTTTGGTTTTAGGATTGCGTGTGACAGAGCAGGACACCCTGAGCTCAGCCAACTCGTGGGCCAGCCGAGCAGCCTCGGCATGGTTTCCACAAGCGATGGAACCCTCAAGCCGTTTCAAGAGTCGATTGATGCTGAGAGTGTTGACTTGACCTAAAGTTGGCTCCTCAACTCGCAAAGTTGCTGTGGACAAAATTCTTAACTGTAATCAAGAATTTGGGTAAATAATAAATAAAGTACAGTACAGTAAAAGTGACTATTCATAAATACTGTACATGTACCTTTTATTAAATAAAAGTGATAATTTATCGCATCTAAGTTTCATCATTAGTAAGAATAACCTTACTTCCATACAGTATCTGTACATTTACTAAACTACTGTACAGTAATTCCAAAATCATGTTAAGATATCAATAATTGTAAAGTTTGACATGTTAAATAATATGATCTACCATAGCTCATCATCAGCTTAACATCATATTGAAAAACTTTCAAAAGTATATAAAAAAAGCTTTGACTTCCAAACAACAAAGCTTGAGAGCATGAGCAAATATAATCTAACCAACAATCTGCACACAGAGAGAGGCAGGCAGTCAAGTGTAACTCAATACCATTCACACGGTCATTTGGGTAATAAAATTAAGTACGTATATACAGCACAGGCAGTCCCTGATTTCAATGGTTTAGTAAAATTTTAAGTTAAGAAAAAAGATATATGATACAGTACAGTAACATGATTTGATTTAAGAACAAAAATCCTGTACAATAGTTGTGATTTTTTCTCACTATTTTTGTAATTTTTTCCTAAGTACTGTACTGTACTAATGAAAATATACAAAAAATAATAAATTTGTCTTTTAATACAGTGCTTACTTCACATACCTATTTCATTATTCCCTAACACTTCCATTATCTACAAATAAGCTTTCAGTGTGTCATAGTTCCCCTACAATCCTCAAATTCACAGGAGACAAGTGCACCAGCACAGTCATTCAGCCAGTTGCCTGATTATCCAGTTTCTCCTCATTTACTCTCATGTAATAAGTGGAATATCAAACATAAGAAAGTTGTTCTGCATCCTCAGCCCTTACAGTGAGAGAACGTACCTTGTACATCCTAGAACACCAAGCAGTAAACCAGAGGACATACCTGCTACTGTACGTGCTTGAGAAACACTGTACTGTACTGCTATGTGTCATTGGTGGAATGTTGTGACATCCCACTGGTCATATGAACACTTGAGTTTTCTTTTTTTTTCATGTGTGTTGGGGTGAGTGCCGTACTGTACAGGTTATGAGATGGTGTGAGGATGGTTATGATGGTGGTGTGTTGTGGGTGATTATGATGTTCAGTGGGAGTGATTATTGTAATACAGTACAGTACAGTACAGTACAGTACAGTATAGGAATTTGAATGAAATTATTTAATGAAAATGGGATACTTGGGTAACTCTAGGTAAGTCTTCTCTAATTTGATTCCACAAACAATTATTTTATAAATTGAACGAGAAAAAATAAAAACAATGGTAATACATCAGCATTTTATCCCATTACTATAGTCATAAGCCCTATTGGTCATTTCTAGTTGGAGCTTAGTAGGCCTAAAGCCTATTAGCATTACGACTTATTCAATCTACAACTAAAACAATTTTCTTTAACCAAAACTGGCTGAGAGAAAATAAGATATACATTAAAACTGAAAAACAAGCAGCTGATGCAGGCTTGGAATTCACAGCAGCTATGTTCACAATGACCATCATTACCCTATGACTGGCTGTGATGATCCCTCACCTCAAGCTCTGTGTTGTGTCCCTCCCTTATATTGAGCACAGTTCCCTCTTCATGAATCTCTTAGACCTTTTAATAACAGAAGAGTATGGAGAGAGAGAATTACTCAATGGAATTAAAATGAACTGAATCATCCAATGAAGATAAAAAAATGGACTAAAAATTGACCCACTCAGAATATCAGACTTTTTCTTTAAATTTAATGTTAATATTATTATTTAATGTACTGTACAATTTATTAAGGCATTAAATAAGTACTGTATCTAATAATTATAAATATAAATCCACACTCAGCATGAGAACACAGTGACTCAACAATCTTATTAGGAAAGAGAAATGTAGAGTCTATATTTTTCTGTTTCTCAATACATCTCTAAGGTATTAACTGAAGATCTCTTTAGAAACAGATGAAAGTATAGCAAAAGCATTTTTCTTTCCTTGCAAGATTTTTAATTAATAATATGTCTTTCCTCTATTCATCCCAAGTCCATTAACCTCACGCCATTCCCTGCTTCAAGGGGTGGAAGAGGAATCATGAGGTAAAACAAAAGCACAGAAATGCGTATCATTAACACACATGATTTCATATTACCTAAATTCACTTTATATTTGTTTGGATTCTCAAACACTGGTACGTTAATTTTCTTTTCCTCACTTACTGTAGATTCTGATAATGTACAGTATTGTAAAGGTTGAGTTTGTGTAATATTTATGCTCATTATTTTTATGCTGGCTGTAGCTCAAGTCAGCCAGTGAGACACAAACTTATGTCTTCAATTACTGGGGAAATTTAACGACCAAATCTCAAGAGAACCCGTGACCTATATTGAAATATCGGGACACACACACACACACACACTCCCCACCTTGCGGTCACTTCCACAACTCAAGTGACTTTATCCTCGGTGTCTAACCTTCATTTACCCAATATCTGAATCAACTCTTTATCTTAGCTTTAAAGTAGGAGACTAAAAAATGTACTCGAGGTACTTCCCCAGCAGGAGTGAGTGATGTACAAATGTGGTGATGAGACTTTTAAAAAGACCAGAGTATTGCCCTTCTTTAACTTGACAGAAATTAACAGTGTGTATTCTTTTTAATGATAAGCATAAGCCATATAATTCTTTAAATATATTTAAATAAGGTAAGTAAACCACCTGTCAACTCAGACGTGCTAATTTACAGTGCAGTACGTACTGTACAGTAAAGTTCTTAGAAAATCCAAAACTAACAAACCAAACTTAACCTAACTTAATGATTTTAGAATACATTTTAGTGAAGTTAGGCTATTTAGTTGAGGTTTTGGTTCTGTTGCTTCATTTTGTTTTCTAAAAAATATAAAAATAAAATACAGATATAAGAGCAAAATTGCATACAGTATTTGTATTGATGGCCATCTTGTTAAATCCATCTCCACAAGGGTACTGGTGCATGACAAAATATCGCCTACATTGAAATAACTGGGAAATGACGACTTAGCTTGAAAAGTAAATGACACAGAAGTCATCAGCAGGTTGATGAACCATTAATAATTCAACATGCATTTCTTCCTGTTAAGTTTTTCTTTTTCATTGTTTACCTGGAGGAGTTGACTGACTCAGACATGGTTGGTAAAGTGAGATTAGATGTTTGTCTACCAAGATCCATCAATAATAATAATATTGAAAGCATAGTGGTTCTACCCTCTTTGGTGATGACCAACAATTTTAGCTGGAATGTAAAACTTTTACTGTCCAAATATTGTACAGTGAACAGTATACTGCACAAAATTTGTACAGCAAATACCTGTATATTTTTAAATATATGTAGTATATGGTTTGTATAAATAAACAAATATCTTAAGTTGATCAAAACCAAAATGGGTAGATCCACTAGTCTTGCCGCTTACCTTTAAATGTAGCAATGCCATCAGCCTCTGTGAGCTGTCGACTCAGTCTCTCAACCTCTTTCTTTTCCATTTGCCCCCGACCCACACACTTCACCCCCACCTCAGACACCAAAGGTGTTGAGTTATCAGAATGGGATGAAGGAGATATATGGTCTTCATGGGGTTCAATAATAATTTGAGGTACTACAGCTCCTGCTGGTGGGTTCGCTGGACTGGTGATGCTTGTTGTCTCAGTGATTGGTGAGGGGGTGGCTGGACTGGTTATGCTCCTACTTTCAGCAGTTGGTGAGCACTCACTGTGCTGAGCTTCAATCGTTTCAAAATCTTTAGCCTGGATTAACTCGAAGGTTCCTGATCCAATGGACATTGAGCGTTTACGTTGTTCTGTATAAAGAACTCCTCCTTTGATGATTCCCTCAGAAAGGTCTGTGGGATGGGAATTTGATTTGGAATCAAAAGAGGGCTTTCCATGTAGTTGTTCTCTGTTACCATTGTGTTGAGGGTATGGCTGTGTAGTAGGAGTGTGATTCAAGTGGTTAACACCATTCATAGGTTGCCTGATGCTAGCAGCGGTGGTGGTGGCAGAGTCTATGGAAATTTGTAATGAATTTGAACGGGATATTGCTGATAATCTTGGTTTTCTCCTGGCTGCTTCTTTCCTCATTCTTTGTTTTTCAATTTTGTCTAACTCTGCCATGGCAGCCATTTCATCAAATTTAGCAACTGCTGAAAATACTTCAGTATCTCTTGGAACATCACTTCTGGGCTGTGGTCTGAGACATTCTCTACATTCCCTATTGGATCTTGGTAATTCTGGACTATTTGTTTCGGAATTCAACTGTTCAAAAATCTGTGTCCGTCCTACAACATTTCCAAATGATCTCCTGCGTGTTACTTGTGGCTTTTCTTTTTTTGCTTGTTGTAGTTGTTCAAACTGGTTAAATATACTAACTACATTACGTACAGCACCACTTGGCTTTAGCACTTGTGGTTTACGGTAATTTTTGTGGTAAAATGTTTTATCTTCTTCCTGATCTTGGTGATCTGATTCTTCAGGCATTAAGTGTTGGTCTCTCTGGGAACTTTCATCCTGGTTTCTTCCTGGTCCTTCTTTACTACCTTCTTCGAGTTCAGTTTTTATTTTTTTATTTTTTTTTTTCCTGTCTCCACATTTTTTTTTGCAGTTTTTTTCATTCTTTACAGCAGATGGCATGACTTCATCTTGAGTCAGTTGTTCATCCTCATCACAGCCACTTCCTTCAAATTTTGCAAGCCTAGCTCTTCTCAGTTGGTCCATATCTGGCTCTTTATTTAAACCTTCATTGCTATGAGATTTCTTAACAGTAAATTCTAATGTTTTTGATTCATTTTCTCTCTCAGAGTCAGGGTTATGAATGAACGTGTCGGGTGGACCCTGAGCTGTACCAAAAAATGTTGTCTTTGGCTTTGCACCCTTACCTCTAACCTCAGCCTCTTTGGAAATGCAGGCTGGCATGACCATCGATTCATTCCGTGAGCTTTTTTTAAGTTTTCTATACCTTTCTTCAGTTTCAGAAACATTAACTGTTGTAGATTTTTTGGTTTCAGAGCTTGCTGCTGAAAGATCTTTTGTATCATTGATACCTTTGGCATGCTCATCAAATGTTCTGAAATATTTCTGTAACTCTCTTTCCCAGTTGATATCCTTCTTCTTCTTGTCATGGTGGGATTTTTGATCATTATCAGGAAGCTGGCCAGTGTCTGGCACAGCAGCCTCTGCACCACCCACTGCTTCTCTTGCACCTTCTGCATTACTTTCATCATGGATCACTGTCACAGGACTCTCATCAGAGATACTTGGTTGGGAACTTACATATTCTGAAGTAAAAGATTTGTTATCCTCATCCACCCGCTTGGGGTGAAGAGGTCTCCGTTTCATACACGCTTCACACTGTAGTCTCCACGGCAGGTTGATCAGAGTACAAACTTCACACACCCACTTCAATTTACGCTCAACTCCTTCATTCAATTCAATGGGAGGCGGTGGAGCCACATCCATATTACTGGTTCCTGTTTGTCCAATTGCATTTTGCCAAACTTCAAAGTTACTCCTCTCTCTCAACGACAGGACCTCTTCACGAATTTTATCTGATTTTCTCTGTTCTCTGTTCTTCGCTGCTTCTTCTTCTTCTTCATTAATTTTTTGTATTTCATGTCTTACATCCGCCAACTCTTGCATGATTTCCCGAGCATTTGTCGAATTTAAACGAAATTCATAATTAGCCTCACTGTTTGCCTCATCATGAACAGATTCCCTCCTTCTTCCATTGATGGATGAGGGTACTGGAAGGTCTTCATAAATATCATCAGCTGGAGTGGTGGCACTTGATGTCATGGACTCGGAGGCTTCAATAATGGTGGAAACATCTGGCGAGAAGAAGTTGTTCATACGAAGACCAAAATTTTTATTCGGTCTACAAAAATGACCTGGAGAATCACTAGGAACTACTATTGGATCATCATCCAGCTCTTCCTCACTAACTTCCTCATATGATGGCATTTTTCGAGTTTCTCGGACTCCAACAAGTACAGGAGAATTTTTACTCCTTGGCTCAGCAGTAGTATGAGTGTCTTTAGCGAGCTGATAAAACAATTCTGCATCAAACGCTGCTCTGCGCATTGGTGATTCCCGTGTGGGAGGTGGAGATGACTCTGGGGAAGCTTGGGAAGGTTGAGTGAGGTTTGAGGTGACTCTCTTGGTCTTTGGAGAATTTGACCCTTTATGAGATTCTGATAAACCAAACTGAAGAGCATCAGAAGCAATCAACTTACCTCCAATGGAATGGCGAAAGTTGCCTTCTTTTTCTTCAATTCTTAGTGTTGCATGTTTTGAATAGCTCTGAGGTAGAGTTAAGTCAAGACCTGAATCACTAAGATTATCATAAATACCATTCTGGGAATTTGGTAGTCCATGTTCTCCAACTTCTATTCTGTCACTTGTTGATGAGCCAAGAGTGGCAGTCCCAGAAGAACTCACAGTATTCATATCAAAATTTTCAACTCTACCTCTGTCTTTGGTTCTTGGCAGGAAGTCTGTCTGAGTAAGTATATGAGGCTCACTGGTCTTATAAAACTTGTTATCGTACGTTTTCTTTTGAGCTTTCCGTTGCTCCAGTTCTCGCTGCATCTGCTCTGTAGCTGCCCGATCAAGCTCACTTATATTTGCCAGCAACGATACCTGAGATTTTCTCTTTTCTTTCTTATCATCATCTTTTGATTTCTTTTGTGTATTTTCATCACCATATTCAAAACTTTTACTCTTCCTGAAAGTCCCACTTAAACTAAGTTTACTTCGTGAAAATTGGATATCGGGCATCCAACTGTCATATACTTTATCTTTTTTACTTGTAGCTTTTGAGTCTTTACTGTTCTCCTTATCCCTATTTTTCTTTCTCTTGTACCAAGGACGAGGAGACAGGGTCAGTTTACTGGTGTCAGGAATGGCTGGGCTTGAAGAAGATTTAGTGATGTCTTGCCGAAGAAATCCACTCTCCAGCCTGATGGACTCGGCAGAGTATTGACTGCTGGTTGCTCCACTACTGCTCTGAGATTTCAGTGTGGTGGAAGCTGATGATGGAGACTGAGACAGATAGCTTCCAGTGGAAACAGTGCTTAATGGTCGATCCTTTTTCTCTGCAGGAACATTGGGGGCTTGGCGTTTCTTCTGACCATCATTTGTGAGTGGTGACAAATTCTCTTTATTACTATTTAGTGTGTTTGATCCTCCAGTGGTCTGAACTGGTGGAAGTGGAGCTCTTCTCTTGGCTTTGGCACATATTACACCTTCACTCTTGGATTTCTGCAGCCTCCTGCCTTCAGGTATTTGACTAATGGAACTTGGTGAACTTTGTTCTGAAGTAATACTGGGTCTCAGCTCCCTGGCTGGTAGGCTTGTACAACTTTTCTGTGATCTTAGTGAGCCAGTGTCACTCATCTTTGGTGATCCAGGGGGTTGTGGTGCTGGCCTCTTTTTGCGACTCATCGTTGCCCCTCGAGACTCTGGTTTTGACGATGTGTCCGAAGATGCACTCACTGCTGAGAGTCTCCTGCCTCCCTCTTCATTTGAGGTGCTTGAATTTGTTCGTCCAAGTGAAGAGTCCCTTTGAAACAGTTTATATCGCCGGGTAATACCAAATTTAGGTTGATTTTGATTTTTTGAAGCAATCATCTTGTTTTGAGTGTCAGCACTTTTACTTCTCATGATAGGTACATATGAAAAGCCACTTGTAGAACTTGACAGACTGTTCACGCTCCCTCCACTCGCATTGCTCATGCGATCCACTGATGTAGATCTCTTCTTCTTGTCTCTATTTCTAAACCAACGGAAGATATTAAGGAAGCCAGAGGTCTTCTCTCTCTTGAGAGGATAGGGTCTATCACCCATGGAATACCTACCAGGAGAACTCATGTACTTGGACACATCACTTGCTGTTGTTGAAGTACTTGAAGAACTCAGCTTTTTTCCATAGTGTCTTTGATAATCATTAAGTGTTGGACTTGATGGTGTTGACACACTGGGTTGACGATTCTGCCCTAATCTTTCCGAAATCTCACTCGACCTGCCCCCAGATGGGAGTGTTGATTTTCTTACCATTGTTTCCCCAAAATAAGCCGTGGCATCAAGCCAGTCCTCATCACTACCCCCTCGGCCCACTCCACTCAGTCCAGTTCTCCTCACAGATCCCTTTGCTGTCATCTTCACATTTCCCTCGTTGCTAAAATTCTTGTTTTCCTGAGATGTGTCCTGAGCCCCACTCTGTACAAGCCTCGCAGCTAGTAGCTCCTTCTTACTTGTGCACGTGGAAGAGTAGATAGAAGAAGAATATACTGTGGAGGTGGTAGCAGCAGTGGTGGAGGATGAAGATATGGAGGAAGTCATGACAGAGAGGGAATTTACACTCTTGTCATTGTTATGTTGCTCCAACATCTTGCTACTGCCCATTCCTCTGCCAACCACATCCGACCTCCCTGAAGGTTCCACCTCAGCCCCACTTTGCTGCAAGAAAAAACCCATGAATGTTTTGCATCATTCTTTTGTTGTCCTGTCATACACTCAAGAGAAAAAGAGCTCATAAACATTGGTTAAGGGTCAAATCCTAAACATTAGGATTGGTACCCCTTAGGATGGGGACTCATTAGTACCTAGTCCCATTCCTAATGGTTAAAATAGGGTTATGTAGGACTGAGACTCTTATGACTTGTCACTGCTGGATTGTAATATATATTTGTTCTGTTGTAGGATAAAACATATAAATCATAAACTTACATTTGCTTGTAGGTTTGCATTCTCAGCTGCCACCTGGTGAGTGTAAGGGTGCAGTGATAAACATCAGCAAAAGTAATACTGTAATCAAATTACCCATTGATGACAACAGGATGTGTTGACATATAATATGAAAGTACTGAATGTTACAGGTAATGACAATAGTTCCTAGTACATCTGAAAAGGCCAGTGCTCTTCCAGGCCTGAAAGCCACTGTTCAACCACCAAGCCCCGAATGGAAATAGCCAAAAATCAACGAGTTTTCCCTTAACAGGATTAATTTGTGTGTGTGGCCAGTGTAGTTAATACAGTAGATAATTCTGCATGGAAATTCTCTTAACTGGATTAAATTCTCATAAAGCAAGATATATTCCAGTTCCTTTAAAAATTCCCATATTCTATTACCTAACTGTTAAAACATAAACCCAAAACACGGAAAATTGAAGAAATGATGCACCGAGAGATAAAGAAACGCTAAAATAATGAAATAAAGTAAACCTGAAATTAAATAATAGAGAAAATGAAATGTATATGAAGGTTAATAAAAAACTATGAAAGAAAACTTGTAACTGAACAAAATTCCACATCCCGGAATTTTTCTGGGTATACCGGTAGTACTACTGTACAGTATACTGTACAGTACTGGGAAAGGTTTCCGAGAGTAAAACTACGCATTTTGCATAAACAGACATTATTGCACATCCCAGTAATGTTTTTGGGAGCTAAGGAAAGTTTTCTGAGTCTAAACTACGCAATTCATCTTGGATGGACAAACACTCTCCCATTACATTTAGACCAGAGGTATGAGTGAAAATATTTATGGCTACCAAAAATGTGTATAAACTTTTATTCACAGCATCTGTTCTAAATGTGTTAAAGAGATGAATTTGGTACCACTATGATCCTGAATAAATTCCCTGCAAGACTGTTACAATAAAGGATCCTTAAACAAAATATTTTTACATGATATAATTATGGGGACTCAATTCTTATACGAGAAAATATAAGAAATGTTTAAACCAGAGCCTATAAGATCAGTTCTAATAAGCTGGAAACACCCTTTTTTTTTTATTACAACAATAATCCAGAATAGTTAACTAAAAGTTTGGTGCATGATGCAATCTCTTGGAAAAATTTTTCCCAAACCCAGAATGGAGAAGTTTGGGGAGATTTTCTCATAATTTATCCTGAGAATATGCCTGATTTTCAACCTCAGAAACTCATTCATAGACCCGGAATGGAGAGTTTTTCCCGTAATTTTTACGGCCGGATTTCCATTCCGGCTATTGGAGAGTTCCGGGGATTGAGGATTGCAGTTAAAGGGGAGATTACTTAATAAGCATCAGTTACGATTATTCTTCTAGGTGGATAAGAAGAACAGTCTGTAATTGTAAATATAAGAAAATAACAGATAATCTATATTTCTTTACTTTTAAAGAGACTCTTTTATTTTAGTTAAGATCCTGGAGCTCAGGTTAGGGATTGGACTTCACACTCCACCTATTGTTAATGTGAAAACTTGTGGTCATATCTGGTGTAAGTCATTACAGTAACTCTGAATGGTAATATATGCATAAAATTTGCTTAAACTAATCAAGATATTGTCAGATCATAATACCATTTTCAGGGATGCCAAATTATACAGGCATCAGGCAAACTGACTGCCTACAGCAGGCCCAGCCCAATGCTGACACAAACGGCAGGGTTACTTTTCACACAAAAATAATGTAATATATTCTACGTTCTATTAAAGAGTAAAAAATATCAGTATGTGTACTTTAGGCTCTTCATTTTAAAAAAATAATAAAATATACAAAAATATGGTTCTGTAAGTACAGAAAAACTTTTCTTAATATGTATTTTTCTGCATATTTTTTTTTTCAAATAACAGTTTGGACTGCATTGCTAGTACAATATTTACTCTATAAGCTCCCAGTTTTCATTAATCAATCTTCAGCTTTATAAAGTGTTTTATTATTTTGATTTGTTATTGCTAAAACCTTAACTGATACAAATGCTGCAATTTGAAATCAGATATGCAAAGCAAACTGCAAAAAATAAAGTTTTCTTGGTGTTCATGCAAGGATAGTTAATAAAAAGCAGATGTATTATATTATTAATCACTTTATTTAGTAGTAGTTACAGGCAATTAGGAAATACAGTTACAGCCTTGGATTACTGCCATGCATAATAGTTATTTGCCATGCATACACACCACAGTTATCTAAAGAGCTTCGTTCTTTTAAGAAAATATGTGAACTCAGAGTTGCAACCTGCAGGCCATCACTGACACCTGCTGTACAACTAGTCACCAACTGATTACTAATCAGAGTACCTCATCCCCATCCAATATTATCTCAACAACCATATTTTCAAAACTATCGGTGGACACAAAGTGATCTGGTTTCTTAACATTTAAAATCTTTGAGTACAGCTTCTGTTACATAGAAAATTCTTTAAAACTGAGCCTTGATATTGCTGTGATCTGAAACAAAATTTTCATGTCATAGTTCTCGAAAGTACAACATACACGACTCTTAATTAGGATTAATACATAATAATCTAATGGATTATTTTTTCTTGGGGGGGGGGACTAATAGATAATCTCCTAGATTTCAAACAAGGATCACTTGGCTGTGCTCTCGATTCCCAATTCAGGAGACATGGGTTCAATCCTATGGTCAGGCAGGATTGGAGGGTCTTTATTCTGCTCTGGATTGTTACCCTCAAATTGTTGAAATTAGTTTCAAATAGCTTAAGTTTTATTAGATTTGTTTACTTCTATATATTGCTACATCCAAATTAATAAACTAAATGCACATGCCCGAACACGCTCATATTTCTGCAAAATGATTAATGTTGATAAAAAAAAGTACCACACACACGCTGGACCATTTTACCTTTTTTTCCCAAGTGCTATGACAGAAGCAAACCTAATCTAACTTAACTTAACCAAAACTACTCTAGGATTGTTGGGTTAGGTTTGGGTCACCTTTAATTTAATATACTGTACATACATGGCTTTGCAGTCCTGTTCCTGGTACTTTTTTGACACTGATCATCTTGCCATACTTCTAATACAAAGGACAAATTACAAAAGCCATACGGCAAATAAGCACTAAAATACTTTACAACTTGCCTGTCATCCAATGTTTTCAGGTCAAATGGGCACCATCTATAGTAGACCCTGGTCCTACTAGACCTCACTCTAACAAAACCATTAGGATTGGGATCATGTAATTAAGGCTCATTAAAAATGAAACATAACTCTAATGGTTAGGTTATGCTGGAACCCAGTTGGATTGGGAGCTATCAGGACTGGAACCCATTTTACCAGACACCATTAAAACAAGGCTCAAACACATCCAATATGACATGCTCTTCTTAAGTATATTGGATCAAAAACTCCTATGACTAGCTCAAGTGTGATGCTCACAGTGGTCTAGACCATAACTTGTTACTGCCTTACCTTCAGATATTTCCTACTGTGGATGTCAGAGGAGGGTGCAGTCACTCTTGCCTTTTGTGGAGGTGGTTCTGGTGCCAAGCTTAAGTCAAAGGTAGCTCGAGGTATGTCTGAGCTTGAGGATGTGGTTGAAGAAGAGGAGGAAGGTGTTGTTGTTCTGTAAATTAATTCATCAAAACTAAAAATGCATCCTTTGAATATGACTGACCCTCTGAGATAGCTAAAAGCAAAATTATATTATAAAAAAGGAGCAGTCAGTGGAATGGATGATGCCCCTATAAAAGAGATCAAAATTCATTGGTTTCATCAACTGAGTATTGAAGAGGAAAAAATAATATGAAATTTAGATGCAATGTATCTAATAGCACTTTAGCTACTATGTGGATATACTTTGTCTACAGATAAATAAGTAGGTCCAAACAAAATCAGTAGTAATCATTATATATATAAAGGTGTAACCTGTAAATCTTTTTTTTGTTTTATGGATTTGTTTTAAAATTATTGCAATACAATATTATTTATGCTAAATACAGCATCACCATCACTTTTATCAGGCAAAAATTCTAGAATTCCACCAAAAATATCTAATGAAATGTTAAGTTTTTCAAACAATTTCTGTTCATATACATTACAGCATTATTTAATTCATATATGGTCTGTTTGTAAGTTATTCCCCAAACATATTAAAAAACATACATATTGCACCATCATTAAAGCCTCAAGACTAATTGCAACGTTAAAAATAAATTAGAAGGAAAAGCCACAGGTAAATAATGAAGACAACAGTGCTAAAATATTTATCACATTCTCAGTGTGAGATTTAGCCCCAATCTTTAAATCATCGAAACAAATCCAACACAGATAAAGAGATGCACCAACGCTAACTATTCTGCATTTGGTGGAAAACAGGAAAACAAGTGACAGACTCTAATACAAAAGGATCGAAGAGTATAAATACCCATCAAACAAGAGCAATAATACACCAAACATCGTCTCATGGTCACAAATTTAGTTCAGTTGGGTTGGTATTTTTTCACAATTACTCTTGGTTAAATATTTCAAAACGTAAGCTAATGCAGGAATCTCCATACTTTTTTTGTGTTTGGTTGTATATGCAATACATCATTACAAAACTTTATAAAACACTATGAAAACTGGTGGATAATCCTACTTTATTTGACTTGATGAAACCCCGACAGAAGTTGTGTGTTTACTGCCATAAAATTCCTTTTCTTTGATAAGTGACAGTACAGGTAGGAAGAGGCCTCTTGTGCACGGACAGGTAAACAACTGACGCCCATTCCAGGAACCATCACAGCCACCGACCATATCAACCTCCTGAAAAATGTGTGACACTTGATAAAGATTGTTGAGTTGAGTTAGTAAGGCTGGGGTGGGTTGGGTGATATTATATTAGGTCTGGTTTGGTTACAGTAGGTTGGTTAGGTTAGCTTTTTTTAAGTTAGCTGTGTTAGTTGGATTAACTTAGTAATTTTAGGTTGGGTTAGGTTAAATACAGCACTACAGTATATGATAAGTGTTAATCTGTAATTGTTGTTCATACCCATACTTTATTTTACTGTTACCCTCAAATTGTTATCTACTGAACAGTATTCCAATTAAAATCAATCAACTAGACAAATACTTTTGAAAGCCCTGCAATGTGATACTATCTTCAATCAGTATTTCTTAAATACTACTGTACTGTACTTACAAAATGAACTCCAACAGTCCAGTTATTGCCCATCTCCGGAACTCTGCCAATCCAGCTGACAGTACCATGATGGGGACCATACTCGCAAGGGTCTCGTACCCCGAGTCCCGCCGACCCACCTAGCCAAACTACACGCTCCCCCACTAGTACTGGGGGGCGGTATGTCCACTCTCTATCCATCTGATGGTCCTGTAAAAGTAATGTGATGATGTGGTCATTCATATTCCCCAGAACAGAAGTAAACACAGTACAGGTACAGGTAGTACTCACATTTGCTAGGAATAACAATGCATCCCCATGAGAGAAATATTAAGATGTACAGTATTAAGATATCAAGGCATCCCACATTATAAAAATAATAACACCTGCCGGGAAGATCGACACATGACTCATCTTAAAAGTGTTAACAATTAAAGAGGATAACAAGAGTCCCTTTTTGAAATAATATATCAACACTCGTCAAGAATACTGTATCAAGATGATGCAACCATCCATATCTTCCGAAATGGAAGACTATTGGAATACTGTACGTATACATGTAGCTATCCCTCTTAGCAAAAGATTTCCCTATACCATCACCGTAAATGCTCAAGAGTTTTATTAGGCCCAAGTTCTAATATGTCCCACCTGAAAATAACCATTATGACTGGCACCTTATGAAGACCATTTAGAATTAAGAGCTCCTTTGAACTGAGCCCAAATCCTAAGTGTTATGTTAGGACAAGAACTATTAAGACTGGAGCCCATTTAATCAGTCATATTTCCTTACAAGGCTTTGTCTACCAGTGCAGCATCCTCATTTAATATGATACAGAAATTTATCACTTTTAAGACACTGGAAAAAACTGATCATTAACCTCCATGCAAGATTATGAGTTCCTTGTCAATGTAAACAATAAAAATATCCAACCAACCCCATATTTTCTCTGTTTTTCATGTCCTGGTGACCTAATGTGTTGAGGGGAGAAGAGTGTGTAGCACAGGTAGTCAGGTCACCCAGTAAACAAACACCTACACCTCCCTCACAACTTAAAGCTGACGTCTCACTCTCACCCCTCATCAATATATTTCCTCAACTTATATATATCGCTGAACCTAAGATGCTACTTTAGATTGGAACATACTCAAATCTTGGGTCGGGTTAGTTTAGGTTCCAGAGCTAGTGATTAGTAAGACCAGAATTTAGATCCATTTCTAATACCCACAATCCACATCACTATATTATCCACACTCTCCTTCAGATATAAAATAACACTTCTTGTACGATTATCTATTTTCTGGTACAAAAGTAAGAAATACTCTCAATATATGACGTAGTAAGGTACCACACACTTTATTAGTTGAATCAGAAATTATCATTTTTTAAACAAAGAGACAGATGGTGAATCATATAACACTGAGAAAGGTTAACATTATCCTTCGTTTTTTCTGAGTACCCATTAGTTCTGTCAATGTATTGTACTACATTCTATAACATCCAGTAAATTACCAAGTGGCAATTTTTACATCCATTAGAAATAACAAAAGCAATCTTATTATCTCTTTTAGAAAATTACATTAATTTGTCATCCAGTAATAAAAGACGGCATTTTGATACTCATAAGACAAAGTAAAGTCCTGACACCCATCATCAGAAGATAACATTTTTATGATTTATTTTTAAAGAAAAGCTTCTGCACCTTTTATATCAGTGACCATACACTACAGAAGAGATGTGCAGTAGAGACTAAATCACACATGTGCAACATTGTGGAGGTCCTCATATAGAGAGGTGATTCACTGACTCCTCCACCCACGACTTTTTGCAAGATGAGTTTTGGAAGGCGGACAACCCACACCGCCATCTTAATTCCCCACTTTTCAACACTTTACGTGGTTCAACAACTTTGTTATACTGAATACCACCATTCATTATGAATTCCCGGGCCTCGTATGGCTATATGTCAAGAAATAATCTCACTAGAATAAGTTATTGGGCGTCAAGTTGTTCTTACCCTTCCAAAAATAAACACACAAACATTGCAGGTTGACTGAGGCGCTGGTTCCCTCACAAACACCCATATATAACATACCGAAGAACTATATATTTAAAACAGTGTAATATTATTGTGGAAAATACAAAAGTATATACATTCTGGATTTTTTCAATTATTGTCTTGATGTAAAAATTCATGTCATCAATCAACAGCACATGAAAATTAAAGGTCTATCTTATTATGATATTATACAATTTAATATAATACCATATGCGAAAAACATATTGATTATTATTTCTAGTTTCTAGACGTTTTTCATGAATTAACTGTTTGTGATATTACTTGTTGCTTTTACTAAATACTTTACATGTTATCATCTCCACAGGTCTGGCAGATCCGTCGAGATGCCGCACGTTGATCATTCTGGTAAGTGTTACTATTTTTCTGTTATTGGTGGCTCATAATGCTTTAAAATTAGTTTGATGTGAAATATTATGTTGAGGTGGAAGAGAACGAAGAGTGACTGGAGTACTAGTTGTCTTAATACACAACATTTCACCATCACACGAGTTGTACAGGTGGTTATTCATTACTTTTATATCTTGCTATGACATTTACTTTACTGCCCAGTGTTAATACAGAATAAACTGTATCACCTGAGGAAAACCTGCCATGTTTGGTAGTCTCACTGGATAACACTTCTCATGTGTCCCAGTGTGGTTGCTGAAAATGTTGTGGACATAGTACAGTACAATACACAGTCAATCAAAACATCAGGTGAGGTTAGGGCAAGGATTCTATGCAGTGCTGTAGGTGATAACTCCCCCCACCAAAAAAAAAAATAATATTCATTTACCCTGTAGCATTTTTGTCATAAATTTAAATTTTTACAGTTATTTGGGTAAAATTAACATTTCAGTCGTCCACCTATTTGGAAGTTGTTCAAAACACATCAAAAACTGTCGAAAAAACATAATTTCAACCAAATCTAACCTAACCTAAACTTAAAATCCGCTGGATAACCGAAACGATAATATCATTATTTTTACTCAAGTTAATTTAAGAAAGTTATTTTGATCGTACAAACTGGGCACAGCTTTGTAGTAAAGGGAAATTGTGTGGTAAAAATGCAAAAAAAAAAAAAATCTTATGGAACTTAACCTAACTTAACATTTGTCTTGGCAATTTTGTGAAAAAAAAAAAAATGATTAAGAATCAGTAGAGGACAACCACAGAAATCGAAATTGATTTTTATATAGGGAAATAGAGCAAAAAATTTGTTATATTACATTCGTCTTAAAATTTATATTTTTCAATTTACAAGTATCCCTCGCTACACTTGTGCACTTTTACAAATACAGTACTGTATTGTATTCTTATAACTCTCCCTCACAATACAAAAGCTATGGTCCCTTCAGATAATGTACCCGGTACCTAACTTATATTTTATTATTTCTTTAATATGGTTGGTGCTAAATTACAGTAGTTAGGTATTAATAAACAGAACTGTAGTTAGGTTGTTTTTTGTGTTTGTGAACTGATTTATTTGTGATAGCTTATCCTGTATATTGTTTTGTTTTAGTTAGGTACTAAATAAGTAATTACTCTGAATTTTTGGCATCCGTTGTCTAGAGCCACCACTGAAAATTACGTTGCCTAAACAAAGGCTCCTGTATTCATATTGAACTATATACGTGTACAGTATACCTGCATACTTTACACTACATGACAATTTCACTGAAGGCTTAGTACTGTAGCTACAGTGTTCCTAATGGGTAGTCATGCCTATGAGACCCATTTTTAATCTGATCACATCATTGTTTTAATGATGTACTGTTATTTATTTTCAGAAGAAAACACCTGCTCAGAAGCAGAGGTTGCAACATTGTTTTCAGTGAAGTATGAATCTGTGACAAGTATCTCTCTCTCTGAAGAAGAGTATTGTTTACACCTCACTCACACTACCAATTGGGAAGACGTGGCCGTGGCGTTGTCAGATTTTTCTGTGACGCTGCTAAAGAGGGAAACTCTTCAGAAAGTGTCCAGTTTTGATCCCCACCAAGAATGTATCACAGGGTTGAAATTCTCTCCTGGTAACAACAACTGCCTGTGGACCAGTAGTAGTGATGGCTTTGTCAAGATGTGGGATGTCAGGTCCAATCAATGTGAGAAGGAGTTTCAAGGAATGACTAAAAGTTCTTCTGTAACAAAGCCTCTTACCTGTTTTGATATTTCGTGTAATGAAAGGATATTGTGTGCGGGGACGGAGTTGGTTGAGACGGGTGTTTTTATTCTGTTCTGGGACATCCGTGGTGACAAAGCTTTAGGCAGCTACTGGGAATCTCACACTGATAATATCACCCAGGTCAAGTTTAACCCTTCACAAGCTGATACAATGGCTACAGCAGCTACAGATGGACTTATTAATGTTTTTGATATCTCACAAAGTACAGAGGATGATGCTCTTACATACTGCATGAATTCTGAAGTGACGACTGGGAACTTATCGTGGCTGGGTCAGAATGGCCGACAAGAAAGATTATCTGCAATAACAGATATTGAATCTTTACAGTATTGGGATATCAAGGAAGCAGCACCAATGCATAAATATAGCAGGGAAGATGTAGCTGCAGCCATGAAGCTCAAGGAACCGGACGACTGTTATTTGGCATCTGTGCATATGTCAAGTGAAGGGGACAATCCCTTAGTGCTGGTTGGTGCTCGTAATGATGAAGGAAGCGATACTCTGTGTACGTTGAAACTCGACCTGCAAACGGGACAGCTGAAGCCACATGGCTCTTTCGTGGCCAAGCAGCTGCTGCTGATGATACGAGCGGCATTATATCAAGTAGAGACAGACTCGTATATCACTGCTGGGGAATGTGGTGTTGTGAGAATTTGGAAACCAGAGTCCACTGAAAGTATTGGCAAACAATCTCTTGTGAAGTTGTCCAAAAAAAACAGAACAAAACCATATTAGCTTAATGAAGTATTTCCCAACTGTTATGTTTTGTTTATGAGACATATAAGTAATATCTTGTTAACACCAACACTCAGTTCAGATGTACAGTGTATAGAACATGTTGAAAATCTCAGATGGTCCTTGGATCATTGAAGATGGATCACATAGATGATGATTACTTGTCCAGAATGAAATATCATATTAATGTATTTGTGTTTACTATCCATTCCTTATTTGTCATTGTGAGGAAAAAGTAAGTTAGACAGTCACTTAAAAAGAAATTCAAGAGTTAATGTAAGAAATGTAATCCATTACATGTAAGTTACTATTTAAAATGATTTAGTTTATTACAGTATATTTGTAATTTTGTTCTCAGCAGTGAATAAGTACGGTACAGTACAACATCCATGGTGTTGGAACGTTCAGGAGGAGTCTGGGGATGGGGTATCCATTAAGTATTGTGTGTATAGTCAGAAGATCAACACCTGCTTGCTGGCCAACCTCTGTCAAATCAACTGAATGCTTGTATGGTTTAAGAGGGTCAGAAATATTTGTGAGCCCTGGAGTGATGCAAACATAACTGGTATTTATGAGACAATAAACAAGAGAGAATGAGAAGATTGGAAATATAACAACCAAAACTTTACTGAAGAAAACAAAAGAACATTAATTCTGTATATGATAAATATTTGATATATTAGTGATGCTTCGGGGCTGCAGTGAGTGATTCACCCTAGTGTTTATCCTTCTGCCTAATATAATGACCCAACACCTGAACATAACCCTTCTGATGAAGAACTGTGGTGACTTAGATAAGTTTATTTCATTGGATTAGGTTAGTAAGATATACTATATAATACAGTAAAGTTGAATTAATCATCATTAAAGATTATTTTTTTCCCTATAACCTTCATTGACAATACAGTAAATATTATTTGATAATTTTGTGTTGTAATCCAAAATAGCAGTGGGCACGGATTAGTGTAATCCAAAATAGGATTGGACTAGGCTAAGATGTAATGCAGAATAAATATTTTTTAATAAAGCATATGCAGTACCTGATTGAAAATTTTATTAATTTAAGACCCACTGAGGCTTAGTAAATGCTTACTGTACTTAATGATATACAGCTGTATGTACTGTAATAGACTACCCCAACTCTTCACCCATCTACCAAAAAGATGAAATTCAATTCGGACAAACCTGAAGTTTACATAGACAGGATGCCACATCAACTGAGCCATTCTGGGATTTCCTGAACACCTAGCTCATCCCAAGTAACAGGCCCACAGATTGAAAACCCTGTATGTCTACTGTAGTCTTTCAGCACCTTTTCTTTTGTGTTTTGTACTCGTGAGTTTTAATGTCTTACTCGCATAAAGGCCCGTCCACACGATCGAGCAGTGCCCGGCGGGCACGCGCTAGATGCCCGTTATCAGGCAAAATTGGCGGGCAAACCAGCGGAGTGCCTGTGCCCGTCGTTGAGCAAAATCATGGTCAGCCTGCCTGGTGGTTTGCTGCCGGATATGGAGCAACGACTCTGAGTACTGCAAATGTGATATGTATATGTTCCCCTCTCGGTCCAGATGTCCAGTGTATCACCAATTAAGCTTATGCAATGTACATTATTGGCATGGCAATAAACGGGAGATTGTTTTTGTATTATGTAATGAGGACATTCGTGTGTGTTCTTCGTTCCTGCCGCTCTCCTCACTCTAGTCCCATAGCTTCCTGTCTATGCATGTCATAATTCTAACATTATTCAATGAATTTTTATGTACAAATCTCACCTGCAAGTAATCTTCCTTGAGTACTTCATACATGGTTTGACAAGTTGCAGGTATTATGCGAGACAAACTTTGTTTTGATAACCTCGTTCTATACTGAAGTGACGTGTAGGTGCACCCAGTTGAAAGATATACGAGCGTTGCCTCTAGACGAGCCTCTACAGATATACACTCCCTCATATTGGTATCCTGTTTTTTTATATATGGTTCCACTTTTGCTAGAAGTTGTAAAAGGTGTTGGGGTCCATTCTCATGTAATTGGTGAAGTCGTGCTCATGTCCATCTTGCAGTTCACGTAAAATCGTGGCATGACTTCCCAATACTTTTCTTCGATCTAACCACTCTTTGCACCATTCCCTTTTCTGCATTTGGTTCTTCTTTTTGCACATAGCAGCAATTATTATAGTACACAACGCTATGCTCTTCACTTTAACTGTCCGGCGATTATTCCTGAGACACACGATGGTGATCGTACCGCACCCGCCACTGCCGACCACCTACTAGCTGCCGCCAACCACCCCCGTGTGTACAACAACACACAGGCTTTGCCAGGTAAAATGGCAAAGCCTGCCGGGCGCTGCACGATCTTGTGGACGGGGCTTAACCACTGCATTATATTTATAGCGAGGCAAGTTGTTTCTATTTATAGCACATTGCAATTGCTGTTTTTAACTTATAACAACCCAATTAGTTTCTTGAGCTTTCACCTTAGCCAGTAACCCAGGTATATACTATACAGTGTTTTTGCTCACTAGGATAAAAGACTTACTAGTACCCTGAGCAGAGGGATCCCTGGGAATGTTCCCTGAAGACCTCCCAAGGGAATGTATAACTGGTAGGATTTTTGGCCTTCCCTATCTAGAAAGGATAATGGTAACAGGTAATGGATGGATACAGTTAAAGTCTTTCTAGGTCTTCTTTCATGTGATTTTTCTAAAATACAATGTTCTTCAGGAACGCAACTACCACGTTATGGGAGAACTGACTGTACTTCCAAGGTTAAGTTTTAAATGAGTGAAAAAATTTATGGACGACACCCTGTATTTGATTATGCAATTTCATGTTAACATTAACCCCTTTGGGTTGCAACCTTGCATATAAGCAAGTGTTTAGTGTAATCTATATGAGAAAGCCTTGACTGTATGAATCATGGATAATGTAGTCAAACAATGGATATTTATTCTCTAAATGGCAATATACATCTCTAGTTCATGTATAAATATAAAGTACAGTACAGTATTTCACAAGTGATTACAGTACATATCAAAATGACTTCGCAAGAGTCACATTAGCTACTGCGTGTGGTGTTGAGAGAAAAACACTGAAGGTATAAAATACTTTGAGATATATTTGTCAAAGCAAATTGGTTCACTAATCAGTATCTCAAATTCTCATTACAGTACATTCCAATTACCAATAATATATTAACAGCATACAGTACAGTACAATATACAAAGTAAGAATTAACATTATTTTAGCTTCCTTTCTAAATATTTTCCCTCAGATTTTGAGATGAAATCATTGTAAAGTTAATGAAGATGTGAAGAGTCAACTGTAGCATACATGTGTAAATATGTTTGTTTGTATTCACTAGTTCTGCTTAATATTGTTCTTTTAGTGTAAAGGCCGTGACACCTATGTGCAAAACCAAACTAGCAAGGGGCAGATCCAGGGCAAAAATAAGAATTAAAGATTCCTTTATACTCTGGATGACCAAATAAATGCAACTGCCCAGAGGTTATTAATGAATGTGGCCATAAACAATGACACTTTCTGTACAGTATAACCACATGGATTCACCCCTGCACTTGTTGTTACACTGTGATAAATGCCTCATCAATTACCTCAATAAATTCTCCTCCATGTTGCATATGTTTGAAATATGAAGAAGCTGAAGGCTCAGGTAAAGTCTTGAGTGTGTATCAACCACAGCTGTCACCCGGGGAAGTGGGAAAATGGCATTCCTGGTAGAACCTCCACACTAATGGCTGTGGTGGTAAAACTAGGTAATAGATCACTCCTTTTTGAGGATGATGGCTCCAGCTGATCTAATCTAAAGTCCTTTCCCAGGACCTATACCAGCCAATGTCAATCTGAATGAGGCACTCTCCAGGTTAAGAACTGCTGGCCTATAGTCTCTTCCTTTATGAACCTTATTTATAAGATATTTTGATGAACCCAATACTGGACATGAACAATACAGTACATCAGACTGGTGACACAAGATTTGTGTTCTCTTATGGTGCTCGTGTTGTGTGATTCACTTTGCATAGGACTAGGATTCGTGAACAGACACGGCAATTATGATAAAATAATGACCACATCCAGAACAATACGCGAGTGTGGACCCCAGAGACCTGATGGCCTGTTTAGTGCAAATACAATACAGTGACCCCTCGTTTCACGAACACCTCGGTTAACGTAATTTCGATTAACGAACTGCCTTCCATAAGGATCTTCAATTCGGTTAACGAAAAAAAATTCGATTAACGAAGTTCTTACGAACCGACCTCAATATGTTTTCGCTTGCACTGACCGGGCAACCAGCTTTAGTATCAGTCCGCCAATACATTAATTGGTTCTAGGGCTTAAATTCCTTACTATTTTAGTAAATATCAAGAAGTTTATACTATTCAATAATTTTAAAAGTTTAATGTTCAATTTTTTAGTCATTTTAACAATTATTGAACATAATTGAAGGTAAAGTGACTAGTTTAATGCGCGGCATCCAGCCTCTTAACACAGCAAACAGGAGTTAGTCTCTCTCTGTTTTCACTGGAGGTAACATCTTGCTTGAGACTCTCTTCAACTAAACGCTTTTTTTCTGTTTCCAAGCAAATTATTGGTCATTTTGAAATATATTTTACATATTGACAATATATAATGCAGTGCAGTGTTGATTTAAAGAAAATAATCTTGAAATACACCAAGAGAACTAAAATTTTATGGATGAAATGGTGCCATGGGGTGACTTCTCTTCCACCCCAATGCCTTTTCTTCTTCCTTCTCCTCCACCCCCATTCTAATTCCCATCATCATCATCATCCAGGAGCCTTCTACATACACACCTCAAAGTAAGTGAACTTTTCTACCATTTTTTGTTGAATTTAGGAAATTTTCGGTGAGCTGGAACCAATTACCCAAAAACCCATTGAAACAATGGTTTCGGTTAACGAACGACCTTCTGGAACGGATTGAGTTCGTTAATGGAGGGGTCACTGTACACTAGGGGGCAGTGAAATTTTGCTCAAAGCTGCACTGTTCAGGCATTGTTCCTTATACATATCTAAGACTCCATGCCAAATTTGAAGCTGATATGTCGAGGTTTAGTCTGCCGCATTTTCTACTGAAATTTTTAAATTTACCTACAGTACTAGCCAAACAGCCGCTGTGGCGGTGCAATGTTCTGTTCAGTGTTAATCAACTTTTTTTTCATATCTCTTATTTCATTTAAGTTGTCTTGTTGCAGATGAGTATGGTGCTATTGTCCCCTTGCCTCCTGTCAGGATGCGAGGTGCATAGTTAAGGAGTGTGACGGATATCACCTGGCATGTAATTGTGTTATAAAAGTTCCCAAACGTGAGGTGCAGTTTCTCCTTGACCAGCGAGGTGATAGGAAGATGAAGATTGCAGGGGTTGACATGAAAGTGACGAAGATGTGGGACAGAGTGACGGCAATAGAGAAGCATGATGCGGACAGAGTTAGGAGACAGCTTGAGCAAAAACATAGATATCTGGTAGCTGGAGATATTCCTTATGTTGAGGATAATTCAGATGATTCAAGAGATATTCCTCTCGTCAATACTGATGCTGATTTTGTCCCTGATCCAAGGGCTCTGACAGACACCAGTTCACAGAACCGGACAAGACTCCCTACACTGGCTGCCGCTTGTGACCGATACTTGATTAGTGATTATGCTGGAGCTGCCATTGCTACTGCCACCTTAACTGACTATGGCATTATCACAAAGGATGACAAGAGTCAGGTTATTGGACCACATAAGCTGCGGGATGCGAGACAAAAATACCGATTTAAGAGGCAAGAAATTAGATGGCTAGTTTAGATAATTTGACGTCACTCTATTTTGATGGTAAGAAGACTGCCACTCGTGTGATGATAAAGAATGAGAAGACCGAGAAATGGAGTTCGAGGATGATGGTGAAAGATCATTATGTCATCATGGTTGAGCCTGGCAATGAATATCTCACACATGTGACTCCCAAGACTGGACACGGAAAGCAGATTGCCAAAACTATTCACGAGTTTCTGGTGGA